AAGCTTTTTTAAAAATAATAAGTAAATATACTTGCTTAAAGGCTTAGCACTAAGTTATAACTTAATTATATAACTATAAAATTAATAAAATATAAGAATATTTACTTTTACTTTAAAAAATATATTTATATATTTATAATATTATTTAAGTAGCAGGATTTTTTTAACCTTTACCCTATTAAGGTATATTATAATATAGTTTTTTTATTTAAAAATTTATACTAAAAGTACTTTAACTTCTGCAGCAATTTTTATAATATATTTTTATGTTATTATTATATATTATAAGTATTTAAAATTATACTTTACTTTTTAACTATATACTTAATTATTAATTTACTAATTTAAAATAGGTATTATAGCTAGCAGCTATAAAAATCCTAAAATTATATTATAATTATTAATATTAATAACTTTAAAGTTTTATTAATAATACTATATATTACGCGTAAAATTTTTAGTATAAATTATAAGTATATGTTTTTTATAAAATATTACTATATAGCTATTAATTATATATATTTTATAGGCTAATTTTTTACTTTATATTAGGTAGGACTTTGCCCAGCGCTAGTTTATAAAATTTACTTTTACTTTAAAGTTAATAAAAACCCTTGCATATTATTATTTTTTATTTTTTTTTTATTTTTACCTAAATTACCCAGGCCTATAATATATTTTTTTATTTTATATAAATTTTTAAAGCTTGTACTATATAAAGCTTTAAGGTTTTATATTTTTTATATTATTAAATTTACTTAAAGGCTATTATTATAAAGGTGTTTTTTTTTAACCTCTGCCCGGTAACTAATAATATTACTTAAAATATTTAATATAGCTGTAGTTTAAGTATTTACCTAGGTATGGCTTTTTTATAAATAAAAAATTATTTAAATTATTAGGTTATTTTATACTAATATTTATTTTTATACTTTTTTTAATAGTAAAGAGCGCCCTAACTTTAGTTATTAATAATTTTATATAAGTTTAGTTAAAAAACTTTTTTTTTTTTTATAATAGTTTTCTTTTGCTTGGGCATGTTATTTTTAATACTTATTAAGTATAATATATAGTTATTATAGCGCTTTAATTCTTAATATTTATAAATAAAAAACTTTTTTTATATATTCTTTAGGATCTTTTAGTATAGGTATTCTTAATACTAATTATTATTATACTTATAGGGTAGGTATTTTTTAATTTAATTTAATAATTATATAAATTACTTAATAATTTACCATGGTTACTGCTTTATATTACCTTACTTAATTAATAAGTTATTAACCAGCACTATTTTATTATTAATTATTTTAATTAATATATTAAAAATTTTTTTTAAGTAAATATAGTTTTTACTTTATAAATATTAAATTATTCCCGCCTGCGGTTTTTTACTAAAAATTTAATAAATTAAAATATTTTATAGCTATTATTTAAGTAATAGGTTAGGAAGGTTTTAAAGTATATTTTTATATTTAACTTTTAATTATTAAATTTTTTAATATTATTTACCTGGTATAGTTTTATAAATAATAACTTTTTTAAAAAGTTTTTTTTAAATTATATTATTATTATTATAACTTTTTTAATAGTCTTTTTTAAAATTACAAGGTTATTAAAGTCTATTTAGCGGGGGATTATTAATTACTTAATAAATTAAATAAGTATATTATATATTTATTAGTTAGCTTTAGCCCTTGTAATTTATTAACATGCCTTTTTAATTTAAGTATAAATTTATTAATATTTTTTTTTATAGCGTTTTTACTCCTATAATTTCTTTTTTTTTATTAAAATTATTTTTAGTATTACTTATAATTTTTTAGTAATTTTTTTACTATTTTTATTTTCTTGCCCTTGGGTAGGCCTTTTATATTTTAATATTTTTTATATAATTTAAGGTTTAATAGCAAGGGCGCCCTTAAGATTTTTTAATTAAAAGTTTATAAATTTTTTATTAGGTATATTAGTTAGTTATTAAGTTAGGGTTTATAATTACTTTTTTAAAGTATTATTTACTAGCCCCTGGGATTAAGTTTATTACCTAGCTATTATATAAAATAGGTTTTTTTTAAAAAAAAAAATAATTAAAACTATAAGTCGCGTTTATATATTATAATAAGCTTAAAAAAATATAAATTACTATAATAAAAAAGGTGTTATATATTTATAGTAAAAACTAATTACTAATTTTTTTAAGTTAAAGTTTAAAGTTAAACTTAGTATTTTATATATTATATAACTAGCCGCTGTTTTAGCACGCGGCCAGTTTAGCGCCAAAGTTCCTCCGCCCAGCGGCCTCAGGCCGCCGGATTGCGTTATTGCAACACTACGCAGTTGCAACACCATAACAGTGATAACAAGTATAAAGGTATTAAAAAGCTTGTTATTAGCTAGCTATAAAATTATATACCCCTTATTATTTTAGTATCCTAGCAGGTTAAATTTAACACAGGAAATAGCTTAGCGCAGGAAATAACTTAATACAGGGAATAGCTTAGCGCGGGGAATAAAAGTATAAAGGTGTTAAAGGCTTGTTATTAGCTAGTTTTATAAGATATACACCCCTTAAAAAGCTGCTATTAACTTGCTGGACAAGCTATATACCTCTTATTATTTTAATATCCCAGCGGTTTAGATTTGGCGCGGGAAGTAGTTTAATAAGTAAAAAAAGGAATATAAAATTTAGATTTAGCATGGGGATTAGCTTGGCAAGTAAAAAAAAAGTATAAAGCTATTAAAGGCTTATTATTAGCTAACTTGGCCTAGCGGGAGAATAGTTTTATTAAAATTTAGTTAATTAAGGCTAGAAAAGTTAAAAAAAGTATAAAATAAGGCTACAGCACTACACCCCGCGTGAAGTAACCTTAAAACACGCGCTATATATAAGCACCCTAGCTAGCCTGTATTAAAATTAACTACCCCCGGGTTTACCTAAATGCCCTTAGGTTACCCTTTACCCGGGCCTATAAAAGGAGTTTAATTAGCTTATAAATAAAGCCCTTAGTTTACACCCAACAACAGCTAGTCTATAATAAGTATTAAAATAGTAGCATGTAGGGGGGATTATTACCTGGCTAGTTTATGTTAACTACCCCTAAATTTACCCTTTATCCAGGCCCCTAAAAAAAATCTAATTTAGAATAGTAGCATGCAAGCAAGGTATAAATATAAATTATAAGGGGTATAATTAACTAGCTATAGGTAGCCAAGCTATTAGTACTAAATAATTAATATTATAAAAAAAAATAGTAAAAAAATAATTAGCCGTAGGCCAGGGGTATTAAAAAAGGCTTAAAAAAAATTTTATATATTAAAAACCTAGGGTATCCCAGCGCTTTAAAAGGCTTTTACTTTAGCTAATAAAAAAAATAAAATATATAGTTACTAAAGTGCTGGGATAAAGTAGTAGCTTATAACCTAATAATATAAAAAGTATTATAGGTAAAGCCTGAGTCTCCTATTAGGTGGCTACCAGAGGTGTTATATATAAGGTCTGCAAGTCACGTGCAGCTAGTCCCAAACGGGTAAGCATGGATGCCTGAGGCACCAAGGCAGGGAGCGTCCGACAATAACCGATGGACTCTACCACTCCAACCTCACTGCTTCAACTAGGATCGTTTGGTGGCACTGGCTTTTCAGAAGTGATACTACCTACAGCTAACACACGGGAAGCGTGAGAGATGCGTACGATGGCGCGTTGCTCTTGGAGGCTGAGGGAGGTCAATCTGGCTAAGTTCGTTCCATGCCTACACTATGCCCTCCCACCTAGCTGACGGAAAACAATTTTTCTCCAGCGTCAGTTAACATGGCCAGCAATGGTCATACTAGACCCACGATGCCAAATTACTGTCAGGAGGCCAAACTGGCAACACGACTATGGAAAGTCGGCCGCCAGACCCCGCAACTCCCCCATTCGCGTTTGCCAGTACGACTATGAATAGCTTTCCTTGGTCGCCCAAATCAAAAGGAGATTGCTTGGCTGGAAAAGTGCTCGCGGTGTCAGGGCCGCTGAGAAGGTCCTGGATCGGCAAAAATAGCACACTGCTACGTTCGCTGGAAGGCATGCTTCCTCAATTCGGTCTGATTCTGTGGCCCGAGGTTGGGCGCGTGCATTCAACAAGACGCCTATTGCTATCCAGCAGCTGAGGAAGCCCGGGCAGTCCGGTTGATGGCTCGAATCTGGGATAAAGGTCGGGCCTGGTTTCAGCGGGCGAGTTTGCTGTCAGTCAGGTGGTAAATTGCTGTGGGGGCAGTCAACTCGAGTGCTTGTCTGTCGAATGAGGACGGCTTGTGTGTTGCGTTGTTATTCATGGATCTTCGACCCAGGCACCAACGTCAACTTCAGATCGTCATTCCTGAGTCCCGCGAGGTGAAGTAGGCTTCTCGGCTGGACGTCAGCAATTTCATCCGGAACCACCTATCCCAATCTGGTCCAGTCGGGAGTGAAATGGTCCCAGCGATCACCTTTAACCTTGTTCGGAAGGAGAACTGCGCCTCGAGTTGGCAAACAAACATGTGCATGGACACAACTGCGACGGTGACAGACCTGCGGAGTCCGGAGTATGGACGCAACGAAAAGGTGCATGTCAAATGACATGCAACATGCCTCTACAAGGCTCTATGATTCTGAAGCTGCAGCACCCAGCCCTTAGCTGCGCCTCCCTACTCGAGCAACAATCCAATCGACCTTTCTGCCACCGGATTTGGAAAGAGAAGGACTCGTCCACGTCCACATCCTCGTCCACTGCGTAGCACCGTTTTCTCTTAACTGCACGGCCAGCGCATAGTTTCCATGTATCAAACATCATAGCGCTTGTGGGGGCGGACTTGTGCTTATCGATTCCAGGTGCCTCCCCTCCTTGGAAGGGGACGTATATGTACTTCTCAGTCCTTATATTCTGCTGCGATGCCCTTTCCATCAAATCCGAAATAAACAACCGTTCTTTTATATCCCATCGTTATCTGGACTTTTACGCAAGCTATCCGAATCCTCGGCAATGGATATCCCAGCTGAATGCACTGTTCTCATCGTCGGCGGCGGCCCCGGGGGCTCTTATGCTGCCTCTGTGCTGGCTAGGGAGGGGATTGAGACCGTCTTGCTGGAGGCCAATTCATTTCCCAGGTCAGGCTGCACCACTCAAACTCCGGTAATATTCGCAGAACTAAAAAGATGGCAGGTATCACATCGGCGAGAGCTTGCTCGCTTCCACGCGGGGGTTCCTTTCGTTCATCGATGCGCTCGATAAGTTCGAGTCTCACGGATTTAGGCACAAGGTAGGCGCCAACCCACCTACTTATATCGCAATGCAACATCCAGAGGAAATACTGTCTCTAACTAGACACCCTGGCTACTACCTAGAACGGAGCTTCGTTCACCTTCAACAGCAAGCCCGCAGCGTGTAAGCATTCCTTGCCGAAACCCATGCGTACATGCCTGCGTGCCATTGATACACCCTGATAGTGCCCACAAAACACCGTATTAACTCAATTCCAGACACCGACTTCCTTCCCTACGGCGGACACGCCTGGAACGCGATTCGCTCCGAAGCAGACGAGCTTCTCTTCAAGCACGCCAAAGCATGCGGCGCGAGTCTTCGACGAGACAAAAGTAACGGACATAAAATTCGTGCATTCAGCCTCCAGGAACGGAGACGTACCGGCGACAATGTCCAATGGTCCCTCGGCAGCCTTGAGCGGCAGTATCGAAACAGCCCTGGGCCGTCCGGTCTCTGCGTCCTGGACCCGCAAGGACAAGACCACCGGCACGATCAAGTTCAAGTACCTAATTGACGCCAGCGGACGGGCCGGACTCGTCAGCACGAAGTACATGAAGAACCGCAGGTTCAACGCCGGGCTAAAGAACGTGGCTATGTGGGGGTACTTTGAGAATGCGACGGACTATGGGGTTGGGACGCCGGGCTATAAGGGGCCGTTCTTCCATAGCCTGAAAGGTAAGCAAGCGCAGTGCATTATCAACACAGATAAACTCTCTTATCATGGAGAGTGAGTTGAGCTGACGTTCAACGTGACAGACGGCAGCGGCTGGGTGTGGTTCATCCCGCTACACAACGGCACCACGTCTGTGGGCGTCGTGATGTCGCAGTGCAGCCTCGCGGCGAGGAAAAAAGCCATGGCAACCCCAAGTACTCGCGAATTCCTCATAGAATCCCTCCAGCACGCACCAGAGCTCTTTGCCCTTCTAGAATACGCAACGCTCGTCTCGGAGGTGCGATCCGCAACGGACTGGTCCTATACCGCCTCGTCCTATGCGTCGCCGTACATCCGTATCGTCGGCGACGCAGGCTGTTTCATCGACCCGCTCTTCTCGTCCGGTGTGCATCTCGCACTCACAGGTGCGTTGTCTGCGGCGGCGAGCATCTGTGCCGTCCTGCGAGGCGACTGCGCTGAGGAGAGCAGTGGGAGCTGGTACACCGCGAAGATCCGCGAGGCGTATACGCGCTTCCTGCTTGTTGTGACGGGGGCGTATGCGCAGATTCAGCGAGGGGACCAGGACGTGCTGAGTGAGGAACACGAGAAGGATTTCGGGCGCGCGTTTGGGTTCTTCCGTCCGAGTGAGCATGTCCAATCCCTTCTCATTACAGTACTTGCTAATAGAAAGTACTAGTTATTCAAGGAGCCGTCGAAGTCACCAGTGGCGCAGAACTGACAAGTAGTGAGGTCTCGCAGTCTATGGACTTCTGTATCAAGGTCATCCGCAAGGCCCAGACGACCGCGGGCTTTTTAGCTGGGCCTCTCCCCGGGCTCGATACGAAAGATGAGCTGGAGGAGCAGACGTGCGCTGCGCTCGTGAATGTTGAGATCAGGGGCGGGTTGGAACACTTTCACGTTGATGTTGTGGAGGGCATGGCTGTGAGGTTGGAGAGGGGGCGTTTGGGGTTGGTGAAGGTTGCTTCCAGTGATTGAAGCATAGGTGAGCTTCTACTAGCAGTCTGTGCTCAGATGCCATATTTGAATCTTATGGTGTTTGGGCTTAGTAGATCACCACCCGTTAAAAAACACGTCTTATGGAATGCTAGGGTTACCCTACCATAATCTCTGTTCCTTACGTATGAGCATCGTTCCAAGTCCATGCCTACCTATGCCCTTCCAAGTTTTTCCCAGCCTACGTACACTAATGCACATTTGCTTAATAGGTCCACCTAAACATCATCGCCGTCTCCAACGCCTTCGTCGACAACGCAGCCCAGTTCAACAAGGACCAGCGCAACAGCCTCCAGGACGCATTCACAAAGGTCAACGATGAGACCGGCCGCTTTGTTATTAATGTCGCGAGCAAGGCGCTTGTTGCGGCTGTTTATGCGCTGGATCCGTCGGAGGCTTCGGCGTGAGTCTTGGATTGGGGATTTAGGCGGCTCATTTGCTTTCTACGGTGGGGAGCTGGATGGCTGTGGAGGGGGGGATCCCGTGAAGGCTTAGTTGGAATTAACCAAGAATAATATCTAATATCCAATAAGTCAGCCATAGTCACGATATGATAACCATGTATATGGAGAATTGAAATGACTCTGAGTAGGTATAATCCACATTCCACCTCCATTTGAGACGTATGTCCTAGATCCCTCGATCATGATGAACCTAAGGTTGGCCAGTCCACGTACCTACGCAACGATCCCCGGGGATGGGACTTTCTAGCCATGATTGGCGGACGGGTATCTAGGGCTTCCCGGGTCACGGCGGGGGGTGTCGCTGGGTTCTTCTTTTCTTCTACTACCCACCTGCATGCACCGGATCGAAAGACTGGGCTGGAGTGGTCGTATCCGTCCACATGTTATGCTGAGAACCTGTTGGCATTGAGGTGAAGGGTGAGAAGGGAATGAGTGATCCCGTGGCTCCGGCCCCGACTGAATTGTCTAGGCCAGTTGGGTCTAGAAGGGAGCTACCATAACTACCACGGCCACGATGAGGGCGCATAGACAAATACCCCGACATTTCTATCCGAGTTTTGGGTAAGCTCGGCTGACAGAATCAGGAGAGCCGCAGCTCAATTTCTCTTTCGCGTGGTGTTTTTCTCATCTTCCTACTTAGTACAGCGAACTTGGCCCTATCGTTTGCCTAGTTGCGGCCCATCTCTTCCTTAAAGGGGCGCTCACTAGCCTACAGCTGAGTTAGATTCTGATAGCCTGCGTTTCTACTGGCGGTTTAAGATCTGGAGGCTGTGGTGTGAAGTTATGCGGACTCTGCCTCCGGGCTAGTCTACCTACCTTGCCCTAGCTCCGAATGGGAGCATAGCATACAAGCTTAACCCCGAGGCGAAGTGGCAGGCGGGGGAGAGGGAGATACACCAATAATAGTTAGACTGGGTCCCAAAGCAATGCTCGCAGTTGAGTTCTTATAAATTCACAACGCCGCTTGTGCGAAATCCAATGTAAGTCATGCTATAAACATAAGGTCAATTTGCAACAAACTAATCAACCCAGGTCCCAGGCATCACCTCCAAGCTCCTCTGGATAGACTCCCAGAACTCCCCCACAAGCTCGTCCACTGGATTCGTTACATAGATATGCCAGTCTTCGGGCTCGGGGCCGTACTCCAGATATAGTATACGAGCCCAAAGCCCTTCACGACGTTGGTTCACCGATCGGTATTGCCCAGGAAACTTATCACAATCAAGCCATATAGGAAGACTGGGAAAGACTGCGTGAGATGTGTATAAGGCTAATTCCTTCTCTCCATATGTCTCCAGGTCAATGCCGGTAAGCTTCAGCTCTACTATCCACAAGCGCAAAATGTGGGTGAAGTTTTTCGGTTGGCGCCAATAGCCTTTACAATCGAATGGAACAAAATTGAATAGGAAACCAAGTAGAGGACTTCGTCGCGGCCGATAAGCAAAGTTGGCTACTTTGTTCAGATCTGAGCCCGCGGATGTTGCTTCAGCCAGAAGTCGGCGCCATTCAGCTATTTTATCCGATCTTTTTGCTGAGATATCGGTCGCCATGCCTTCTGCTATCTTGTGCAGAAGAGTCTCCCCGCGGTCATCTAGAATAAAGGCAGCTGGGTCGATATGGTCGCCGCCACCCATCGCTATTCGGATTACCGCAGGGTTCGGAAAATGATTCATGAAAGTGTTGAGCCTTATTGCTCGGTTGAATCGTACGTCGAGGGGTAGCTCTGAGTACCGTTCGAAACAACGGCTATTTATCATGGTGAGGACTTCAGGTGGACCGCCAAATCCAACGGTCTCCCAGTAAGGAGACGTTCTTCCATCGTCCCATTCTCGTTGTTCATCATTGGCGAGCAATTCGTTATCGATCTCGCCAATGCATAGTCGATATAGATCGGATGCCAGAGAAATTTTGTCTAGTTCAATACCACCCCATGCTATATAATAATCTAGATACTGACAACAGGTGCTAATGGAGATTAGTCAGTGAGATGAAACCGACATTACGATGGGGATTGCCTTACAGTCCCTGGTTGTCCGTATGGTTCAAGTCAGCCCCGACATCCAAAAGTAAGCGGCACATGTCAATGCGCCCTTGGGAAACAGCAATCTAAAAAACGTTTTTAAGCACAATTCCAAAGTGGTCAACTTTCCAAGTACCTACATGTAGGAGGCTTCTCCCATTAGCTTTGCAGTCAAAGGGAGAGGCGAGGCCCTCTGATAACAGTCTCTGAACTTCTCCGACGTCGCCATTCTTACAGTGCTGTACGACTGGTGCATCATCTGGTATAACATTGTTAACTTGGAAGGTGAACTTCCAGCCAGATAAGATGTGACTACTGCCTATGGTCCACATCTTATCGACGAAGAACAGCGGCGTGCGAAAACGCAGTACTCTTTGACCGAGGTCTTGTCTCTTGCGTCTTTGAGTGTTTATCTGATAGCTAAGATAATTAGCTGAAATGTGCACTCCTAGTCGCTTAATAAGAGGCATACCTCGTATTTGTCTTGCACTCAGCTAACTCGGTAGTTCCATCTTGCGGTGCGGAGCTCTGCATGCTGATTCTTGAGTTCATCTCATATAAAGAGACACTATACGAAGCCGTGGTCAGCAATCCTGTGAAAGAACAATACCCGATACGAAGCTGGGTGGTTGGGCTTCAGCGGAGTGACAAGCACTCCCTAACAGTAAGAAACAACACCTCGTTTACCTGCAGTAAGCCTGCTGAAGCAGTAAGAGGGTGCTCTTGAAGCTATCAAGATTCTGCCTGTGCATACGAAGCGTTTCCTTCTTCAAAACAAGTTTCAATATTCCGACTCGTCCCTTCGTGGCGGTGTCTCTGCATGCGGAGATTTCCAACATCAATGCTTGGAGATCTCTGTGGAACGCCTGTAGACGACTCTCGATGGACGGAAGGTTGAGGAACGTGAGCCCTTCGGCTCTCAGTGTCAATAGCACCGCTTGAATAATTTCTATCTCCTCGATGAGATTCTGGAGGTCTTCAGGTGCTGTCTTCATGAACGCCCGGAGGGCCTTCAACTTAGATATCGATTCAATTATCTGTTCCAGCAAACTAACGATATTGACCGCGCCGGCCGCGATCCCAAAAGCTTCGGCCATGTGGGTTGTCGTTTCGATAACAAGACAACTACGCCTGCCTCTATTCGTAAAGGTTGATTCCCGCTCTAGCGGGGGCTGACGGGTTTTGAAGGCGAGGTAGCCAGCGCAAGGCTGAAATCGGCTGCAGCACTGATGCACAAGGCTGTGTCCTTAGCCATCCATAATTCAACACGTATGCGCCCACGTGATAGACCGTTCTGTCATCGATAAGTTGAGGCAGAACAGGCGAGAATTCGTTTCAGGTTGTATCTGTCTTTGACTGCATGGTTTCAACCTTGCGTCTGGCAAGGACTCGTTCGTGGCTGTGTTCGCTGAAGGAAAGGCTGAGTGACAGATTCACGAGCTCTGTGCGCAAGTCTCGGTCGCAAAGAGGGACTTGAGACTGTTAGGAGATGATGAGGGAGAAACCTAGTGAGTAGGCAAGTTTGAGTTCGGGGGTGGGCAACCAAAGCAATGCCTGGGGCAGTGCATCGGGAAGGAGTGACCTTAACGCTATTTCGTCATCGCACAACCTCAACGTTGATGATATCGCATGGCTATTTATGATACGAACTCAAATCCTCTGTCATTCTATATCCGCGGTGTGAGCTGCTGCCAACTCGGCAATTATCTACACAGCCTGATCGATGTAATGATGAGCGTCCTGTTCTCATATCCTTGCTCGCGCTCGCGGGACCGCAGATCAGTTATTACGACATGCTGGTATGAAGGACGATAGGCAGTTCAGAAGAAAGGCCCGGGGTATAACCCAGAGACCTTGCCAAATCTACCAAACAACCTCTATGCATATCGCAAGCTCGTAGATCCATATGTCTGCTGCTTCACCCAAAGGTTACACTCTCGGCGTTATGGATATAGCCTCCGCTGCCCTAACTCAAGCTCCCGACAAGACTCCATATGTACCATCGCACCCGCGGACAAAATCAAGACCTTCGCTTTCGGTCTCGAGTAGATCAAAATATCTGCATTGACAGATACCGTCAAGTCGGATGTATCAAGACCTCTTGTTTATGAATGTTGATAGTTGGATCTCTGTCAGATATCGCCCGAAATATATAAGCCACCATAGATAGTCGACGTTTGACACAAAGTAGAGAGCAGCAGATGTAACAGTCAAACAGTCCATCATCCGCAACAAAGAAACCGTGCATCTACTGGGCTGTACGACATATGAATGACTGCAAGAGATGCTGTGATAGAACGCCTACCATAGAGTACTCCGTAGCAACTAAGTCCTTAAGCAGACGCGCACAAAAAGCATAAGAGCACAAAGCCTGCACAATCTTCTACTAGCAAACAGCGCAAACATAGTGGTAGCGGTGTCGGGAAGGAAGATGGATTCTCCGCCAGGTAGGTACTTTACTCCGTACCTACGTATGTATTGTGATACGGGCTGTAAGCGTCCCTAGTCGAGGGATCGAAGACCGAGTATTACTCGGTAGTACTCGAGTTACAGAGCACAAAATACTGGAAAGGGCTTCTATGAATCTCCAGCTGCATCTCCAGCACTGAGTTGAATTGGAAGGGCTTGAATTGTAGCTCTGTGTACACGCACGAATCCTTAGATCCACGCTGCTGAGGTCACGGTGAGCTCAAGCGCTCGACTCGAGCCCAGGGCTGCAAAAGTGCAATACCGGTAAGATAGGTCTGCACAAATACGCCGATCGATACCGGGAAACGTACGAGAGCCGAAACAAAACCATTGGTCTTGGCGCGTCTCTAGCGGCGAACGCTCGCAAGGCATGGGAGCTTGGTGCCTTATTTCAACCTCAGGCGTCGATTTTGCCGGAGCTCCGGGAGCTCAGATTTTTCAAGGGAAGCTACCCTACGGTGAGGACAAGGAAACGGCAGCAATTGCACACGGGTTTCGATAATGCAATTGTATTGGTAGTTAGAAGTGTATTTCAGCCTCCTGAGTGGTAGTCAGTAATAAAGTTAGTTGAGTGACCGGATCATGAGGCAGAGCTGACGTCTACATGGCGACTCCAGCTCGATGTTGAGGCCACGCATCCGCAAGCCTCCGTTCCACTCACCCCAGGTTGTGAGCGAGCTCGAGCTCGAGCTTAGCTGTTGTGCGGAGAAGAGGAGTAGGCTACGCTCATTGTTTATTTAGCTACATTTGCTGAAGGATTGTTGAGTAGAGGCACTCGTGAAGTGGTCATTTTATGGTCTATATGTACAGTACAATGTATTGCTGGCCGGAAACAAAGGGAAGAAAAGGAAAAATGATGAATAGTGTAGTACATGATGATAAAAAGACCACCACTGTAACCCCTTTCCTACCGGCTATGCAAGACAACCGCAAAGATGAAGAAAGTCGAGAGAGTCCAAAAAATCCAATCCATTTCCCATTGTTCGTAGTTGTACACTAAGCTCTTGTCATATCTCAATTGGCGGAAAAAGACGACTTCGTCCGAAATTTTTGTCCCATTCTCGTCGTGGTGTATTTTCGACGGATCCGAGGGTCCCAGATCAACCGCTCAAACCGTCATATGCCGGAGTTGTCATAATTTAAACGTACTTGCACATCATGGCAACCATGAGGTCGAACAGACCGATGGCCTCGACGAAGGCGAAACCAAGAATGGCGTAGGAGAAGAGCTGGCCGCGGAGAGCAGGGTTGCGGGACACAGCAAGGAGGAGGGAACCGAAGACAACACCGATACCGATACCGGCACCACCGAGACCGATGGCAGCAGAGCCCATACCGATGTTCTGGGAGACCTGGACCATGGCGTCGGCGATCTCAGAGGAGTACTGGCGGCGGGCACCGAAGGCCTGGCGGGCGGAGGCCTGGATCATGGAGGGCTGCTGGCGCTTGATGGTCTGGAAGGGGGTGGCCATGCGCTGGGTGGTGAGGGTACGGGCCTGGATGCGGGCGGCAGGGCGAGCGACCTTCATGGTCGAGGCCAGGCGCTGAGCGAAGACACGAGAGGCGGCCATTGTGATGGTAGGGATGGAGTTGAGATGGAGGATGGAAGAGAGAGAGATGGATGGACGGAGGATGGAGGAGAGAAAAGAAGAGAAGGAGAGAAAGTCTTCCAGGAGGAAGGGAAAAATGGGGAGGAAAACGGCCCTAGCACCTAAATACGGCTCCCGCTTAATTTTCGCCCTTTTTCGCAGCGTCTTTCGTGCGCTAGCTGGTTTGGGAGGCTGGGAACAACCCTACGCCGAACTGCTTTACGGTCTTTTACACAGCCTATACGCCAGCCCTGTGTATTCTATCCCTGGCCTTCCAATCCCAGCCTGGGTAAGTCGGGTTCCTTCGGGATGGGGCCAAGCTGACTGAGTTTCGCGCCTGGCCAATAATGCGACCAGCCGTGGAGCGGTCTGAGCTGTCTATCGTGAATCCGTGACGCTGAATTGCTGAGTGCGAGTCCGAGACGCGCTGGTATCCACCGGTTGCTCCAGTCACGGGGGAATCCACTTGGCTTCCGGGCTTCCGCTCTTGAAAACATTTCTACATCTTCCAAGCCATATCGGCAATCTCTGACTACTTTATTGCACCTCAATTGCATCGTTTTGTTGCCAATTCCCTGGAAATCTGACTCTGTGCGGCTGCACGAAAAAGAAATGATGTAAAATTTTGCGAGTGGGTCCAGAGCCAGGGTGGATCCGATAAAGTGGTACCGGTCCACTATTTCTTGCAAGCTCAACCACTCACAAGCTTGAGACTGCAAGCTAAAAAGACGGGCGGGACCTCGGACGCAAATCTCGACCAATCCGGCCCGAATCGGGAATGCGGCTCCACAGCAATATTTCTCCAAGCAAGCTGCTGCAACTTGGCCGAGGGTTCTCTTCGGCTGGAAGGAAACCTGTCAGTTTCAAGTTTCAGGCGTTGCAAAAAGAGTCGGAGAGATCATGCGCTGAAGACGCGGCACCGGCGTTGGCGCTGGCAGGTGATCGAAAGCCAAAACCGCTGAGTCAATGTAATCAAAATAAAATACCGTAATCTCGTAAAATCGCCGTCTCACCGATTCTCGGATTGGGAACCCCGTTCTGGGCCGGAACCCACCCGAGCAACAAACAGTGCTCGTCACCCCAAACAAAGCGCAAGAGGAGAGAAACCACCATGCCTTCGAGGGGCGATGCGCCTCATTATATATCTTCGCTGGATCCTCATACATCAGCAGAAAAAAGACATCTGGAGGATGCCGGGTGGCGCGAAATCGCTCCCGATCTCATCTTGTTCGTCATAGCTTAGGTGGCATTTTTGCCTAAACTCCCCTGTCGGCCTGTCCTGCATCGCGATTTCTTGATTTCCCGCCTGCAGGAGCTTTTACTTTTTCTCTACCTTCCCCTTTATTTTTGGCCTCTGCTCTGCCTATTATTTGTCTCTTATAAGTTATCTCAACGCCTGCCAGTCTGCTTCCAAAGAAAACATGTGATGCGTCCGGAGTCCAATTGACGCAGCAATCGCTCACCCCCAATCATCAGAGCGTCCGCATGACCTCATTTGAGCCTGCTTACCTAACGGCCTAACTCCTAAGGGGCAATGGGCATCCTACCTAGGGACCTAGGGTACTCCGTAGACAGGACAGGGATGGCGCTCCTGCGTCCCTGGTTCCGGCGGCTTTTCCCGAGTGCTCTTTGTTGCTGCAACTTGCTGGCAACTGTCGACCCCTGCAATAACAACTTTTTTTATCGTTCTTTGTTTTGCTCTGATTTGAGTCTGGGCTGCAGCTGCAGGCTACGTAGCGGCTCGATGTTGTCCATGTTATTTGCGCTAGGTAAACATAGCTATCGGTAGTTCTTGCGGTCGCGGTTGTCGCGGATAATATGGGCGGGCTTGCCTCGGTTATTGTCCGGGCGTGTATGTATGGGGAAATGCTGTGGTGATTACTCTGGGGATCGTAGTGCGCGCTCTCTTGCAAAATACGCGAATGTCTTTTTCATCGAGCGCTGCTGCTTGTATTTATGATACGTATTGTCCTCCAGTGACCAATTGAGTCGTCAGGCTGGGACTTCATCTCCTCCGCTTGCTGGTGCGTCTCCATACCGTGGATTCATCAGTAGTGAGAGATATAGGGAGTATGACTTGTATCATGCAGTTTGATCAATTGGTTCCCTAAAGCCAATACAGGATTTTGTTTCGAGTCGCAATCCCCAATCCTCGACCCTCAACTTAGCAGCCATGCCATGCGAATCCGATGTGTCCTACTCCTACGACTGTACGCCGGGGAATCCATCTCCCGGGGTCGACCCGAATCTCCCCGAGTAGAGATCACGTGACCTCACGATCCTCACCCTCCTCCATATATAGAGATACAAGGACCGCCGCTAAAGTGACAATTCCGCTTTCATCATACGTCTCTTGCTCCTAAAATGCCACCCCCAGAATCCCTCTACACACCCGAGTCCGTACCCAGGATAAAAAACGCCAAGCGCCTCACGGCAACGCGCACAAAGCAGCTTATCCGGGCGGCGGCGCGGGACTGCGACGATCCGCCGCCGAAACCTGGGCTGGGCGAGTGCTGTGGGAGCTCGTGTGATCCGTGCGTGAATGATCTGTGGAAAGAGGAATTGGCGTGTTGGAGGGAGAGGTGGGGGGTTGATGATGAAGGGAAGAGGAAGGATGGAAAGGACGAGGGGATGAGGAAGATGCCGGGGAGTTTTGAGTGGTGAGAATTTGTAGGGTTACTTCTGATCCTACCTCTCTTACTCGGTGGTTTCAGCAGACGGGAGCTTGCTTTTTCGCCGCACCTTATGCTGGACTAGGTATTACGAGGCCGGTTCCTGAGTACTCGAGACAAGAGTTCTAATCCTGACAGGGTACTACGTGCATGGTTGAGGGGATTAGACTGATGTTTATTGGATTTGGCTGGACTATCTATCTATCTAATACCCTATTTGGTTGGTGGATGGCCGTTCAAGCCGAAATGGACATAACCTCATTTCCACTCGGCACTTTAGTCTCATACTCCAGCACAAGTCGGACCTCCTCTTTCGGCTCCAAACGCAGCGTCCACTTGACCTCGCCATTCTTGCCCAGGCTAGCTGTGCCATGGCCCTTCCTCTTCTCCATTTTTATGTCTGCCTCATCGCCCTCCTTCTCCAGCCCAGCCGGCTGCAAGACGCGAACACGGAGCTTCTCGTCTTCCGAAACAGGGACAGGAATCTGATCAAGCACAACAATATCAACAGCGTTGCTCTTGGTATTCTTAACCCTGCACGAGCGCAGAAAGTTGGCGCCATCTTCTTTATTAAAGATCATCGCGCCTGGAAGCGGCTTAACTGTTGGCTTTGCGTACTTCACTTCGATCGCTGGATCAATGCCAAGCGGAATGTTGAAGAAGACATTCGGCCCGCATGCTTCTGATGTTACCGTGCCGATGAATGAGCCGTCGACTGTGATTCCCATTCGTCCACGTTGCAGTGTTAGCGAGGAGGTATTCTTGATCCGGGCGCGGAGGAACGCGGCGTTGCGGTGTTTTGGGACGATCACGTATGTGAGGTTGACGGAGTTGAGGTCGAGTTCTGCAAGGACGTGCCGGCGGGATGCGAGGGAAGGGACTAGGGTTCGGCGACCGGGGAGTTCGTACGCCGTCGTCAGGCCGTAGTCTTGTTTGACGGTGTCTTGGTGTTCGATGGTTGATGCGAGGGATTGAGTATCTGCCTCTGCGTCGCCTTCTTCCGACGCAAAGAGTGAGGTGGTGTGTTCCGGCTCTTCAGTCTTCTTAGGTTGACTAGGCAACTGGCCGAATGCCGGTTTGCTTGTAGAGGGGCCCCCTGTTGCTGCCGGGACCGGGAGGGGTGCCGCGCTTCCGAAAAGGCTTCTCTGCGCCTGATTTTGTGACTCCGATGCCTGCACTAGCCGCCCGAACAGACCACCGCTGTTGGGGAGGGGTACCGGGCCTCCGAAAAGGCTCCTTGGCACCTGATTTTGTGACTCAGGTTCCTGCACTGGCCGCCCGAACAGACCACCGCTGTTGTGGAGGGGTGCCGGACCTCCGAAAAGGCTTCTTGGCGCCTGATTCTGTGACTCAGGTTCCTGCACTGGCCGCCCGAACAGACCACTGCCGCTGGGGCGTGCATTGGAACCGAATCCCCCTGTCGCGTTGGACCCAAAAGGGCCTCCTCCCTGTGGGCGCTCAGGTGCATCATAAGCCGCGGATGCTGCAGATGAAGCTCCAAAGAGACTTGCGCCTCCCTGATCAGCACTGGCTGAGGTGTTTGACGCTTGTCCAAATAACGGACCCGACGAGGGTCCTTGCCCTGAGCCTACGCTAAAGCCTTTCTCGGTGCTTCCCTCTGCCAATTGGGCGAATGTAGGACCATTTCGAGTTGGCGGTGCCTGCGGTGCCGGCGCACCGAAGAGGCTACCAGTAGCTTTCGGGATTGGCGGCAGCGCTGGTATTATATTAGTGGGCGCGTCCAAAATCCTTTCCCAGGAAGGACCATCGGGCTTTGCTGGAAGCATCGTCGAGAGCTTGATGTTCCATGTGTCCAGAGTGGGAATGCGCACGCCGAGACCGCTGAATGAAGCCTGGGACGTGGATAGCGTCACCCGAGCATCGCGCCATATCTCAGTACTCGAGTTCCTGAACTCCGCGCGGTAGCTCAGCCGTGCCGTCGATGAGGGCGAGTTGATGGACAGATCGTACCGCGAAAACCAGCCTGATCCGGGAACAATGTAGCTCAAGCGCAGCGTGACATCAACAGTACTAGAGTCTTCCCGTTGCGTCTCGTCACCTCGAACGGTCTTCTCGCCGATCGAGCTGCGCCGACTGGATCCAGGAGTCACCACAGTACTTCGGCCCAGGCTATCGAGCGAAACAACCACTCGTCCAACTTTCGTGGCCCAGAATTGACGTTGCTCAGCACGCTTCCGCTCTTTCTGTTTCTTTTTCTGTTGCCGCTCCTTGGCCCGTTTCTCATTTCGCTGCCGGATCGCCTTCGATGCCGCGGCTCGGTCCTTGAGGAGTATTTTCTTGCGTTTATCGATTTTCTTCTGCATCTTCACCAGCTCCTTCTCGCAGATGGTAACCTCGGCCGTAGCCTCGTGGTGTTTCTTGGCCTCGGCGCCGCGTCTGGCGACATAGGTATCCAGGAATTCCTCCAACTTCTTGATTTCCTTATTTTCATCCGCCTGTAGCCCTTTTCCGTAATTGTCAAGGATGTTCATGATGGCAAACGCTGAGCTGATGCGGCTTTGGGCCATGGCCAGTTTCTCTTGAATCTTTTCCATTTCAGTTCGGATCGCCTGGATCTCAGGATCATCGGCGCCATCCTCGTCTTCGGAGATATCCTCTTCGTCGCTTTCTGAACTTTCTGAGTCAGAGACAGTATCATCAAACTCCCTCCGGTTGGGAACGATGCTTGTCTGGATATCTGTAATCGTCGCTGAACCGTGACCGGACCCTTCGATGCGAATTGAGTCGCAATCTACGCGGGCGTCGAGGCCGTAAATGGTGATTTCATTTTGACCGGGCTAGTTTAGAGTTAGAGCGTCGCTTTCCTTCATCCGCAATAGAAGTCGCTTACCTTGACAGTAGTGTGGATTTCGCGGACGATGGTGACTTGCTTTGGCGCTAGCGTGACCTCCTTGGTGGGCAGCTCTGAGATGAGAATTTCAGAGGTCGCGATTTCAGCCATCTCGACCAGAATGCGATGCTGGAATTTGACCCAGGTTCAAAATTGATGATACTGAGAAAAGAGAGATGCAAACAGAGTGGAGAGCGGGGTGCAGGTGGGAGAAATAGCCAAGCACACTCTAGGCAGAGCCGCAGGAAAAACACCGTCGGAGCCTGTCCCGCTCAACCAATGGGAGTCGAGCTTTGTACACGATTTGCACCAGATAATGGGTTGAAAAACACTAGAGTCGATCTCCTGACTAATAAAAAGAAACGAGGGTAGCTAATGTCTTCGCTTAAGAATATAGATTGGGTCAATAAAGGTGCCATGGAAATGGCTCGAGCGCCCGACCCGGGGTCCCAACTTCAGCAGCTGGTGGCACGGGTCATATGGTTAGAGGACCCTTTGCATCAAGGTTTTTGTGGAGATGAGCGGACAAAGGCAGCCTTTTTGCTTGATTGCCAGAGAAGTGTCTTGGTTGCATCTTCAAATAATTGTCGGAGCCAATATATATTCCCGTCCTAGACCGCTCTGGTATCAAATTGTTTTGAAGCACGAGGATTACATTCTAACAGTCAATAGCACTCCTACTACAAGGCTTCCTTGACCCCGAGAAAAACAGCAAGCTATCCTCCATTATCAACATTCTCAGGATGCTTTGAATCGGTTCCGACTGCCTCATCGCTGTCGCTGCGCAGAGCGGTCACGTGCCGCCTATTCCAACAGGCCCGCCAAGCGAAATTAAAGTTTATGCCTATGCCCCTGACTAATCCACATAATCTCGATCTCCGCACAGACCGAACCATGACGTCGACGATATACAATCGCGCATCATTCCCACGACCACGCAGCCAACCCACAGCCAACCAACCAGGAAAACGAAGCCGCGGAGAAGCCAGCCATGATGTAAAGGGCTTACCGGGGTCGATTACGACCCATCTTTCCCTCATAACCCCTGGCGCGATCGCCTTCCATCGCTTATCTTCTCTTCACTTTCAACCAACATAACACAAGCGTCAAGATGTCCGACGTCCCCGACTCCCTCCTCCCAGGGAACGAAAAGGAAGCGGAGATAGACGCCGCATTTGCCGGGAAGAACCCCAAGAAAATCAATCCCAACGACGCCGGCGTCGCAGAGAACTACACTGGCCCGACAGACAGCCATATCCTGTCGCAGACGAAGCCCGAAGACCATGAGGCGAAAGGCTTAGCGCATAAAGCGGGCGAGGTTGATGGCGGCGAGGTCTCGGATCTTGGATGGGGGCTTTCGGAGACGATTCAAGAGCGCGTTGTGCCGGGGTTGTCGAACGAGGATTTGTTTTTGTTGATTCGGCGGTTTAATAAGGTGCTTACCCCCCCATTTTCATGATGATTGCAAATGGGTTTGAGGCTCAGACTACAGGTGCTAATGGTTGTATGCGCATTAGCAAATTTACAACGTCAAAGCTGTCCCCGATGCACCGCTGCAGGGACTCGACCTGATTCGAGCGGAGGACGATCATTTCTCGCCGGATAAGCTGCGCGCGACTCTGGAGCGGTTCTATACCACCATCATCATTGGACTGACTGCGTTTGTCAAGCACATCGCTAGGTTGCGCTCATGGAGGGAGCCAGTGCGGACGACATGGTTCTGCGTGGTAGATTCCCAGAGGAAATTCACCATCAACAAGAGTTTGAAACTGATGAGTATTAGATCTACTTCACAGCATGGCTTCTCGACCTCCTTGTGCCGACTATTTCCGTCACTCTACTAACTCTAGTCCTTTACACCCCCTCACGAAAGATCCTCTTCCCACCGGCCCCGATAGCCCTCGTCGATACGTCCACCGGCGGAGTTCAAAAGCCCAAGGCCGGAGTGCTCGGATCTCATGACAGTGTTACTGGCGCGCCGGAGAAGTACAAGGGTGAAGCCGCGGAGCAGGAAGCGAGCAACTTGATGGCGAGTGTTGCGACGGTAGCTGTCGGCAGTGCAGCGGGAAAGCACGATCAGGGAACACCTGAGAGCGCGCCTATGGAGTCGCAGGTGCCTGATGCAATGGATATCGTGTCTAAGACGGCGGATGCTCAGGCTGCGGCAGGCGGAGAGGTTCCGGCTGATACCCATGACAAGACACGCGAGCCGATGAAGCAGACTGTGCTGAATGGCGCGGATCAAGCGATGAGGGTTATGGCTGATGTTATCGATATGTGGGAGAGGGTTGCGAAGTAGGTCTTCCGTTTTGCTGACGGGTCAGCTGTGACCCTAGTGCTGATTATGCTGGTAGTGCGCTGGCGCCGACGCCTCCCTTCTCGATGATGACGCCTCGCTTGAGACTGGCGGCTGTCTTTGCAGGAGGATTTCTCGTCTCACTCCTAACATCGAGCTACATTTTCATGAAGATGGCGACCTTTTTCGTCGGTCTCGGTTTCTTCGGCGACCCGCTTATACAGCGAGGAATCCAGTATCTTGACCGCGAGTATCCTCACTGGAAGGAACTATCGCAACTGGAAAAGTATTGCCTTGCCCCTTTTTGTTCACGTTCATATCGCTAACAGCCTCCAGCACCCTGCTCAAAGGCGTCCCCACCAACGCCCAGCTCACCCTAACCCTCCTCCGTATCGGCGAAGCAAACGCCGCTCCTCTTCCACCACCACCGAAAGGTTCGCTAGAGAAAGCACCCTCTCGGCCCGCCTCAATTGACCACGAGAAACTCGCACTCGGCGCAACCCCCGAAGAAGTCGACCGCGCGGCCGCAAAATCGCCGAACCACCCTAACATGCAGGCTGAACGCAAGGCCGAGACCGAGAAGGAGGCAAAGCAGAAAAAGGGCTTTGGTGCCAAAGTGCTCTCTTTCTTCCGAGGCACAACCGCAGCAGGAATCGAGTCCAAGCTCGCCATCAGCCACGCCCGCGCGGAGATCGGTAACCTGCATGCGAAGAACCAAAAGGGCGTCCTCCGCAAGAAGGGCCTCGAGACTCTCCCCATGGGTCCTGTCGAGTTCGATGCGCGGTATAAGGGACACAGGGGAATGGCGATTCTCGATTCCTCCCATGAACCGCCTCTGCTGTACTTCACGACGGATGAGACGGCGCAGCTAGGTGATTACCGCATGGAGAGTCGGAAGAAGGGGAGTGTATACTTCGATATGCCCGTCGACGATATTCAGGAGATGCGCAAGATTGGCGGGATGGGCTGGAAGGGGAAGCTGGTTACCGGCTGGGCTGTTGGTGGGAAGGAGGTCGTTGATGGTATGATTGTTACTGGCAAACGCCCGCACCAGGAGTTCCAGTTGACAGCCATGAGTAAACGCGATGAGCTGTTTAATCGGCTTGTGGCGATTGACGGACAGGTTTGGAATAGCTTTTGATGTTGTTACGGATGTTTGCTGAGGTTTGACAGGTTTGGAAATAGTTCGGGTTCTTTTTTTTGAGATTTGGATATGGAGATGAATGAAATTAGTGGAGTTGGTTGACATGTTATTTAAGTTTTGTATTAGCAGTTTTAGCCAAAGGAAACTTGCTGTCTTCTGCTTTCGTTGAGTGAGGGGATTGTGTCTGTCCCTCAGTAACACACCTCAGTCTCATCTTTTCCTCTCTTCTCATTCAACTCTCCTCATCCTTCATCTCCCTATCTTTCTACACCTACCTTTTGCATCTCTGCTCTATTAGTCGAACTCGACTTCTTCACCTACTACAACCGAACTCTTGCTCCCAGTCACGGCAATCGCGGTGAAGCCTATCGCTTCGAAGCGACCATGACCGGCAATTCGGGATCCCTCCTCAAGAAGACCATGAAGGATTTATACCTGAGCGGTAGATTCTCCGACATGAAGATCACCTGTCAGGGATTCACCTTCAATACTCATCGCTCTGTTGTCTGTACCCAGTCTGCCTTTTTTAACGCAGCAATCAACGGCAATTTCAAGGTAAGTGTTGACCCGTTCCTCATCGAATGACTCATTACTGATTAGTATAGGAGGGTCTTAGCCAGACAGTAGATCTGCCAGACGATGATCTCGAAACGATCGAGCGCGTGCTATCCTTTCTATACTTCACCCATTACGAGCCCGCGTCCCATGCGATGGATTTGTCAACACATCTGGAGACTACCGGGGCCAAACAAAAGGACCAAGACGCGAAGAAATCCAACGTACAGAGTAGATCGGAAAAGGAAGAGGCTTGTCTTCGTGCGGCCTACACCCACTTGAAAGTCTACCTCGCCGCAGACAAGTACGGAATCGATTCTCTGAAGGAGTTCGCTTCAAACTGCTTTGCTTCCCAATCTGACTATATCCCGGTCGGTGCAACCTTTCAAAAAACCCTCCAGGATGCCCTGGCAATGGCACCTCCCTCCAGCTCCGAGCTCCAGGAAGCCGTTGCCGCTGCTATTGCTTCCCGAGCTGCGGAGTTGATCGACAGTGGTGTCGTCAAGCAACTTCTGGATACCCGTCCAGAAATAGCTTCCGCAGTCCTTTCTCGGCTCGTCGAAACGGATGAGATATGGCATGACGCAAAGGAAAATCAGGTCGGCCGCATGATCAACAGCGCTTTGACGATGCGTGGTCGCAACAGGTGCGGCTGTAACCCCTTCTCCGTCCAGCTGCGCCCGGGCGACTTTGCGGCCGAACGATTTAAATGTGGCAATTGTAGGGAGGTGTATAATGTCGACGACAAGGACCTAGAGTGGTGAGCCACTTCCATGAGCAACATCTGAGAGGCAGTTTGATCGGTTGGGCACTGGTTGAGATGGATTGCAATTCGGTAGAGGGATGCGAGCCTTAAGGATGGTCAGCGTTTTAGGAAAGGGCGAGTTGGAACCTTGAATATCATGTTAGCCAGGGGGTAAGAGCTGTGATTTTCCATCGCGCGCTTTATTCTATGTTTTCTAATAACGAATGCCCATAACATGATGACCACGTCCGGATCTGGTCCCCGTTTCCATCGAGGCTTGGGTAAAGCTGCATTGACTCGGGACATCGAGCCCACCAGACGACCTACGAGAACCTACTGTGCATAGAGACCGCGACGAAACCACTTTTCAGGATATGTCCGGGATAGTCGGGATGTAGCTGCTGCTCAGGTGGACTCCAGTGTTCCCTACTTGGATCTCTGGGCAGAGTGCACCTTCGTGTATACTATTTGACAAAGGCGTAATTGAATATGAGGTATTTAAATACTCAATGTGTTGAAAACGAGTTGTTGCCTGTTGTCAGTTTCTGCTTTGCTCTCGCTGTTTGCTGCGAGTAAAACACCTCTCGTTGTCTTCCAACGTTCTCTTCTTCTCCCACCCACAACTTTCTTCTCCTACTTCTTTCCCACCCTCAAGTTCGTGAATCCTTTTCTTCAAGCATAGTGATTCCTCCTCTCTCTACTTGTCCTCGAGTCGGAATAAACCTCAAAGGCATCTGCAACCATGGCGGAATCAGCGGGAGCAACGACCTTCGAATCATCCGGGTCACTCGTCCTCGAAAATATGAAGAACCTCTTTCTGACTGGCAAATACGCAGATATGAAGGTCACTTGTCAGGGATTTACATTCAACGTCCACCGTGCAATCTTGTGTTCCCAATCCACCTTCTTCGACGCCACGGTCAACAGAAACTTCAAGGTAGAGTCTCTGAATATTTGATCATTGAATATGGCTGACGGGCGTTGGTCAGACAGTAGACCTACCAGAAGACGACCTCGAAACTATCGAACGCGTATTATCCTTCCTTTACTTCAATTACTACGACGAGCTCAACCACGTGATGGACTTGCATACCCAATTGATCAGTCTGAGGCTGCGCAACCTGGCCAGGAATATGGGAAGGATTGTATTTGAAAAGCCAGGAAGTGGGCTCCATCCTCCAGGAACAATTGAACCATACATTCACATACAAGTCTACGCCGCAGCGAACAAATACGGAATACCTACGTTGAAAGACTCAGCAGCCGAGCGTCTTGACTATTGGTTCGACAAGGTGAGCCAGGGTGTGACGCCCGAGATACTCACCTATGCCTTCAGCATACTCCCCGCGGATGACTCGCAACTCCGATACATCCTCATTAATTACATCACCAAGTATCTGGGTACGTTGGTTGAGAAAGAGGGGTTCTCTGGCTTTCTAGAAGCGTACCCAAGTATCGCGCCCGCTGTTTTTGTTCGACTGAAACGAGAGCAAAAACTTTGATGCACCAGGGGGTTACGAGATCGCCAGCATGATAAATGCTGCTCTGCGCCAGGACGTCTGCAGTAGTGCAAGGATCACGACGGGCCATTCCTTAGTGGACTGGATGAGGACGACCTTCGGATGGGTCAGTACATTTGCTTGCATTGGGGAAAATCCATTGATGGGCGGTTTTGGGATTAATGGACACACGGAACCATGCTTAGGAATTATATTGGAAGGCCGACTGATCTACTTAGTTCAAGTTTTCTCGCGATGCAGTGCAGGTTGGTTAGATGTGAGTGTGCGGAACAAACGGAGCTCTAGAGAGCTGTTACTTCCAAGGTTGGATCAGAACCTCATGTTATTTGAGAACCACATCTAAATGGCAATTACTTTTTAGAACGTATCATCACTAACGTACTTTTAATTAGGTAACGTGCTCATGTTGCAGGCAATACGGCAACTCTTCTAGCATTCTTGACGATCGGACAAGGATGCCGTATACGTATCGCGTGGCTATGGCCATGGACGGCGAGAGCGGCCTACGCGTTCTATTCTTTCCTTCCCACAGGGTTAACCCAGATAAACTCATTGCCCAGCATGGTGAGGATTTCATGGCGGATGGAAGAATAGCCTCTCTTCTTGCGGCAAATGGAAGACTTGCTTCCGAAGTCTTCAAGCAAATGGTGGAGATCCAAAAGGTAATGGCACAGAGCCAAAAGGCAATGGTGGAGATGCACAAAGCAAAGGAAGCCAAGCACACAGAGGAGCTGAAAGCACAAGCAGTCAAGCACATCCAGGAGATGGAAGCACAGACTGCGAATTACCTTGAGAAAAGGAAACGGATTGACGCGGAGTGGATAGATATTGTTCAGATTTCCTGTATTGAAATATTGTCTCACCGTGACGGCTGCCACTGCGAAGCGGTGGTGGTCAGAGGGTACAGTGGTCAAACGTGCACCATACTGTGTGGTGAATGCCATGATGATATTCATGTGTTTCGGTCAAGGATCTGACTGGCTGCATTACAGGCTGTTTGAGATGGGAAGGAAATCGAGCAAACCTTTGAAACCACATAGGCCGGAGAGGGCGAGGCCGGGGAATCGTGGAGGTGCTACTGCGCACCAAGTTGTATTCGAACCAGCTACGAAAATCCATCTGCTTGCTTACCCTTGCTATACCTATCACACTACCATTCCGATGTTTACTTATACTGGCAGGGACGAACAAGGCTGAGGCCATGACACCCATCCAAACAGGAACATTGTCAAATCGCAATGCCGCATCTTCCATTTCTTCCAGCTCTTTTTCATTTTTCAACAAACCATCTGCAGGCCGCGCAAGTCAGAGGGTCCTTCAGCTCTTCAGAAAAAATTGGCTCCTTTACCAGGTCCCATACGTTCTGCAACCGTCAGCGAGTCGAGGCTTCGATCATACCTCGAGGAACGACAACTGCCACGGAAACCCACAGCTGGGGACTGGATCCTCTGGTTTCATTCGGCTGGAAGACTATGGTACCTAACGTGATCGATAACACTCCGTAACGGTTACCCGCATTTAAGGCAATATGGGAGAGCCCTGACGATTGAAATCATGCTTATACGCTCAAGATGAAGGCTGTGCCATAATGTCAATTAAGGTACGTTGATCAAAACAATTGTCATCGAATTTTTGCTTCACGGCGCTGATGTTCGGGGTTCCGGCAACACTCTGCGGTCTTTCGGCTGATATGAAGGGTGCACGATCCGCATCTTTGATTTGGGGACACTGAATTCGATGATCTTTGGAGATTGGGTGAGCCTCATCGCGAGGCTACGGCCAATCGAATGAGCAAGCTCATTGACCAATGGTGGACTACCGTCTATATGACGCTCGGTACTCCGCAGCACATCGCCTCTGAGTATCTCGACAAACAAACAGCAACTTTCGAGGAGGACTTCTGGTGCATGGAAGTATACTCCAGCGCAATGCGATAGTGCCAACGAGAAGAGGGAGTGCACTCGTCCAAAGCGAAGACAATCTGTAAAAGCTAACGACGCGAGTTTCATCAGACACAAACAAAGCAAAAGCCGATCACATTTCCGGGGCTGGATTCGATATCCTAAGAAATCGCGCCACTCGTTAGCCTGTGCCGTGTCAACTATCCGGAGGTCTCTCAAAGGCCATGGCAGCCATTCTACAATGGAAAAACTGCACTTTGCTAAAGACGCGCCACGAGAAGGTGCGCACAGCGCTTCGAAGAAGCAGTCGCTCGAAGAGATAGAGACCGAGGCATCAACAAACACGACTCCGGCGGCATAGAAAAACGTATTCTCGCAACTGAGGCTACCAGTACCACCGAGACACATTACCTGCTTGAGTATGCTGCGTACCGAATATGGTGTCATCACGGCTAACAGAATAACTGGAAAGCGACCAATTGCACCAAGGCTGACCTCAAGGCCGGATTCGAAGCCATGAGAGAGAGCACCACCAGATCATTCCGCTTCTGCTTCGAAATAATATAACCTTGACGGAGTCAAGATCTTTGCAGTTATTCCCTGCGAGTTTCTACTACACTGTTCGCTCACAAACAACCGGTTATACTGACGAAGATACAATTGAATCAGTGGTTTCGCGGGAGAGGTAGGGCAGCGACGAAAACGAGCCACTGGAAGAGACCCTTATTGACAAGGAGGCATTGCCCACTACATTGCGGGCTATGGCTACCCCAATTCTCCAGCTCTTTTTTATCCTCAATCCCCGAGCCATTTTCACTGCGATACCCATTCAGCTATCGAATACCCGGCATCAGATCGGTAGCAAGAAAAGATCGAACAATCCTCATCCGCATGGTCTTCCCCAAGAAAGTACCAATCCTGCATTTCTACTCCAAGGCCTTCTTCCATCGAGTACACTTTACGGGAATCCGCTCTCTCCAAAGATGTGATTTACTGAAGTGTATGAAAGGATCAGGCATAGCATGCCTAGGTTTTTAGCTGCGATGTCTTCACAGGATAAGTGCTTCAAATAATCAAGTCTCCTGCATTGAATGACGCAGATGAACATGGATGGCGCGAAATGAGATCATTATCCCTATCGAACAGTGGCTGGTGCGCGTGAATTCGAGACCATCTCACGAGTGCGATGCCAGACGAACAAGCCACGCAGCATAGCCCGGGCCGGTCCAATTCGTTATCTTGTGTCGCCCGTCATGGCGCGATGCTACGGAGTACTCTAGCCTCCATGTATCTATCTGTGGCGCACGAGATACATCCAACAGCATGATTGGACCAGCAAGACAGCGCAGGGCTAAACTTGGAATTAGCGACAGGGGTCTGCGGCACCTGCAGGGATAGCGCACAGCCCCAGGCCCGACCAGGCACCACTCGATCTGTGCCTTGCTGCGCCTTCCCGGTTTCTATTGGAATTCCTTCCCTGAACTATTAAGCATGAGGGTCGGCCCGTGGGGGTCCATTGTGGCAACATTTCCTCGCCAATAATCTTGTGATCGGTAAGTATACGACAATGGCATTACCGGACGATCTTCTCGCCACGCCTTTATCCCTGGGCCACGCGCCCTCGGCGACTTTACATGACGCCGTGAGAACACCTGTTTCGTTGGCTACGGCCACTGCGGTCTCAAGCGGGCGAAATGATGAGGACCCGCCGGAAACGCCCTCGCCCTGCGCGAGAAAGGTAGCCAGGCGAGTGCAGAAGAAACGCCAGGAGAGGACCTCGCCCAATCGCAGGCTCATCCAGGAGATGAGGCGGAAAAACAAGTCGCCTATTTTCGTTGCCGCGCTAGCCAAGGGGCTTTCTGGGGAAGCAGTTGCTGAAGATAATGGGCCTGTGCACAAATCGGATGGTGAGCTGCATATCACCGTTGAAGCAGTTGAGTCAGAAAATGAAGATACAAATGAGCAGCATGGGAGCGAGCAGCAGCCCATTATCATAGAGACAGATTCAGATTCAGATGCCGTCGACACCCTTTCGCCAACCCACGAAGACTCAGAAGAATTCGTACCAGCGCAATTCCAATCCTTCACGCCCCGAACCCACACAGTCCACGCCATATTTGGGGACATCCGCGAGGCAATGACAAAATCGTACAAGAAGAGCACAGGGCATGGGTACATCCTCTTCGACCGGCACAGCGAAAGCCCCTTCTTCAAAATTGGAAAGTCAGCAGACGTAAAGAGACGCCAGAAGAACCACCAACGGGAGTGCAAGTTGGCGACCTGGAGCATTATCTCGAAGCCAGCGCGAGCCATCCGCACGCCGATGCGTCTCGAGCGTCTAGCTCAAGCCGAGCTGCGGAATCTCAGCTATATCCCGAGCTGCGCATGTGGCGTTGCGCACCAGGAGTACTTCTGGGGTGAGAAGGAACTCGGGCTGGATGCTCTTGCGTTCTGGGCTGTGTGGCTGCAAGGGAAACAGGAAGGCGAAGAGTCCGAGCCGTACGACTGCAATGAGCAGCTAAAGCCGTTTTGGGCCGACCGCCTGGACCAGTTCCAGGACCGCATAAACGACTATTTCAGATGCGATGACCCTTTTGCGAGGAGAGCGACGACGAAGCGCCCGCGTGCCAGGCATGCCTTCGAGCAGGGTGGGAGAAGTTCGCGTCACCAACAGCAGCCGACAAACTCGACTACGCCTGCAGGGTGGGCATCCCCTCTAGACGCGCGCGACAAATCCTGCAAAGCCTCAACCGCCTCTGGCTAGTCAACCTGATCGGACAGGTTCTTGAAACGTGGCGCTGGATATCCGATCCCAGTGTCTGCCTCTGCGTCGTGGCACTGAGGCTCTTGGGCGGCTGCTTCATTGATAACGCGTTGTTTCTTGTGTGTGTTTCTGCGTTCGCACATCTTCAGCGGGGATATAGTGGTGGCTTTCAGGTTGTCGTTGCGGGTGCTAGGGGGTGCGCGAATCTGAGCCTGGGTCCAAGCTCAAGCCCGAGTTCCGGATCAGAGAGAGGTTCGGTGAAGAAACGAGGACAAGGTAGCCTGACTGCCGCCGAGATAGTGCCGTCCTTGGCTGACGATGCAGAAAGAGGCGATGCCCCTATCACTCAGGACAGGGGCGTTGGCAACGGCTCTGAGACCAGGAGGAATCGGGAGAGGCGGAGGAGCACTTAGCACCTTTCTGTCTTGTTTGAATAGGACACGGTTAATCTGTGGTGATGTATAAGGATATATAATGATATCATGCTGAGTGCGCTTAAATTCGAGCATTGTCAACGCTGCTGGAATGCGCCAGGTTTAAGTAACCTTGGAAGATTCCCACACCTGCAGGGTTTGCGAAGATCTACTGACTATATTTAGCTGGAAGACCACGCTGGTTGATCCAGGCATGGAGAATAGGGTCTATAATAAATGCGAGCTTGTTGCGATGCTGGAGTTCCCTGCGCACAACCAATCCACCTCTCAGCTTCGACCTTTACAATGCAAGGAGCAGGAAGACTTTTTTACCAATCAAGAATAGAGATTCTGCACCCAGATATGCAAAAGCCATAGACCGAACGGCGACGGGACGCATGGTGCCCTCCCGTTCGTACCTTATCAATCGTGTAACCTTCAGGCGACAACTGACCACGCATATGACCTCGGGCATATCATTCCTGTTTCCAGCTCTTGATCACCTGGCTCGGCCAAATTGTCGCAGAATTAGATCACAGCGAGACCAGATGATTGGACATCAAGCCTATGGAACGGCGCAGACCCCTGCTAGCCATGTTTTTGAGGCTACCGTAGCATCCGCTTGGTTCTCTCGTGCATCATGGCTACACGCCTCTATAAGAGGGAGGGCTGCAACTCCATGATCCCGCATACCCACGTCCCCAACCCATTCCCGACGAGGCGCTCATAGAATGCTCTTGCTGCTAGCCGTCTTCTCCGCTCTAGCGGCGACCGCCGAGATTCTCAAGCCCAGAATTGTCGGCGGCACCGAGGTCTCCATCGAAGAGGTCCCCTACCAAATCGCCCTTCTCTACGCCGGTGTGCAAGCATGCGGGGGCAGCATAATCAGCAACATCCATATTATTACCGCAGCGCACTGTGTTGAAAGTGCCCCGGATCCAAGCTATCTTGCCATCCGCGCTGGCTCATCATTCGCCGATCACGGCGGCACCATTCACAATATTTCCAACGTCGCCGTACACCCTGACTACAGACCAACAACTACCAACGACTTTGCTGTCCTTACTCTTACCACGCCTCTGGTGTACGGGCCCGGGATTGCCCCCGTGGGCCTGCCAAGGTCTGGATCTGCTTTGCTGGCCGCGGGCGAAGAAGTTGTTGTCTCGGGTTGGGGCAATATCAAGGAAGGCGAGTTTTTCTCGCCGACGTTGCGGGCTGTGAGGTTGGGTATGGTGGGGATGGAGGAGTGTAGGGCGGCCTATTCGGGTCGCACTATCGCGGATAGTATGTTCTGTGCGGGGATCCCAGAGGGTGGGAAGAGTGCTTGTCAGGGGGACAGCGGGGGCCCGCTTGTTAGGAATGGGGTGTTGTTTGGGGTTGTCTCTTGGGGGGAGGGGTGTGCTCGTCCGGGAATTCCGGGGGTTTATGTGAATGTAGCCTACTTTCGGGATTTCATTGCACAGGTGGCTGGGATTTAGAAAGTCGGCGTAGGTCATTGGGGTTGGAGGATATAGAGGGAATGAAGTCCAAGTGACCTTGGAAGAGTAGAGACAATTTGGGACACTCAGTGTTGATAGGTATCAAGAGATTCACTATTGAGTTAGAATTAGAGGAATAAAAGGCGCTAATCAGCCCTATGACTTTCACATATCAAACTATAGGTGCATCAACTGGAAAACGCGCTGGTATGGACATGAACACGTTGGCTGTCAGGGTTGCGCAGTTGTCCTCTTGTGCGACCATACACGTAGATGCCTGGAGTGTGGTATTAGTTATACGGCCAGCAATATAGTATTCGCTATGATTGATGTTTGAGACGCATTTTTAGTTCGTCCTTGTAAGGTTGATATTGAAATATATACATAGCGAGTATGCCGATATCCCGAGGTATTCCGTTTCTGCGCAACAGCCCAAGTCACTGCAATCCTGGCTGCATATCCCGGCAAAAGGAAAGCAAAAAGAGCTACCAGAGCTGCTCTCAAGTCCAGACACAAATATCATTGCTTCGTAGCCTTTGCATTTACATAACAGTATGGGGAAAACCTGCTTCAGAGGGAAAAAACCCATACCAAGGCAATTATTCCAAACCCGAAATCATCTTTTCTCCAAACCGAGTGCAAAAGTACCCAAGACAACTTATCCAAGCCCAGGCCACGTCACCACCCTCCAGGATGATTCTCGTGGCCTAGGGGTCGGGGGACTTGACAACATTGACAAAATCCGACTCGGCAATGGGATGCGTTATACCGATAACCACATCTTCGGGTCGCTCATCGGGCTTCATGGCCCAGATCTTGTAAGAGTTTCTATAAATTCAGGACAGATGGATCAGTAACAGTGGCAGCAGACAGCCGTCAGCAGTCTGCGGCCTAACATAACACGAACGGGGACGGGGAAGGAGGCCCTACTCCACCACGAAATCTTTCGTTTTTCCCTCGGGAATAGTATATTGAGATTCATTTTCGATGTCGACATACTGGCCCTTGTCATTGATTTGGACGGGCTTCGGAGGGTTTGGTATACCCGTGTTCGTGTAGTGTGTGAGCCAGAAATCGGCCTTTGGAGGATCGTCTCTGGAAGAAGAAGAGGATGAGGAAGCATCAGTCGTTTGTGAGAGGAAATACCGGAGTATCAGAGAGATCATGCTATCTGTATACGCTATACGTACGAGCTCCACGTCCAGGCAAATCGAAACCGTTGGCCCTGTATAATGGGGACGCCAAGAGGGGTATCAAAGAGCATGTTGTTGATGTGGGTTTTTGTTTGGGGCTAGGAGGATTGAGACACTTGAAGATATTTTTTGTCCTTTGGGAGAAGTATACTAGAACCCAGAGATGTCTGCTTCCTGGGACTCATTTGCAGCTGGCGAGCGAGAGTCACAGATTTATACCTTGACAGCTTCGATGGGATCTTCATCCTGAGGACGCGGCTGTTTGTCCTGCGATGCAGTATATGCAGCCATAGTCATAGGTGCTCTGCAAGCTGTGTAAGTCAGGACGCTGTGATTTGACTCGGAGGAATTATGGTCTTCTTGGCAATGTCCGGGCTGTGTGAGGCTTCATGTGATAAGTTTCTTTTTTTTTAGAAGTTTCTGGCATTTTTGATACATGCACATCGCACGTACTTGATTCTTCTGGATGGCAGCATTACCTGACTACCTGAGAACCTTGGTAAGAGCATTTATTAGCATTGTTCATTGGGAGGAATGACGGGAATGAGGCCTGGGGCTCCTTACGCCTTCTTATTTCGTCAGCGTTGCATGGTCTAAGTAAGATCTCGGTGCTGGTTTGTGAGCGCATTTCGGCTTGATCGCCAGGCCAAGTATCCTTCAACTGTGCATCTCTACGACATTATTGAAGCTCTTTTCCAAGACAACGATCGGATGATTGCAGCAGTCATGATTTGCTCATCCAGATCGCGAATGAGAACATGGGAACCTAGCCCATATAACAGTGTACATCAGGATGAAGCTTACAGGTAGCGTAGCGCGTATCGTTCATGCGTGCAGGTGCCTTCGTTGATGTCCGGAGCGGATTCCTACTGTAAGTTTCAAGGTGCATACGAGGACCAGGCAGTCAATTCGTCAGAGGGTCTGCAGCTCGCGCGCCGTATTTGCAGAGAGTGGTTTCAAAACTTCGTGGACTTCGCCCCTCGGCCAGTGAGTGACGTGGTACAATTGTTGCATTCCACACGAGCTTATTGGTGCCTATCGCTTGACGAGTTTATGTACGCTGACACCTCACTTTGAGGCTTTGAGCCGGTCATTATCCGCTTTCGTGCCAATTCCGATTGTGGCCAGCATGTTCTCGTGCTAATGTCAGATGGCCATGCAGCAGACGGCGTACCTGGCGAGATCTCCGCTGAGCTGCGTTTGGGGGTGTCGCTGGCGAGTGCGTCCCTGACGAGCGGGGCGATCTCGACGTTGCTCAACGATCCTTATACATCAAACGCGCCTAGTCTTGGGTTAAGGGTCGGCGTATACTCTCAAAAATAGCGTCCAGGGTATCTGCCAGTACACACCCCATTCCGAAGTTGATGTCGTTGGGCTGGCAATCCCATGCTCTGAACCTAAATAAGCAATCCTCAATTTGATCTCCGCATTCACTGATGCACTGCTGGACATGATAGACCGGCTACGCCTGGACGTGTATATCCAGGACGAGCTTGTAGTTACTTGCAATGACCCATCAGACCAGGGCAGTATGCGCATGCCATCGCTGCCGTGATGCAAATGATCCTCTTACGCATAGAGCGCAACGAAGCCTGCCCAACCATTTGAGAAACCAATGTCAGAATTGGATATGGATTTCCGCCAGGCAACCATGGGCGTGTGGCTGAATATGTACTTAACCATCTTGTCTAGCGGTATCGCCTTCGCTACCGAGAAGTGGACGAAGTAAGAGCCCGGCAGCGGCGCCCTGCACTGACTACATTTTGCCTCTCAAAGCAAACCTAAGTTGGGCGAAATGTTTCACCATTTCAGTCAACCAGAGACACAGAGGTTCATGCTCACCAAGGCCCACATGCGACCGTATTGCCAGTGTCCTGATGATGGCAGGCACGTCGTCTTGGATACCTGTGACCTGGCCTAGCTATTCCCTCTCACAAGTTCCCAGAATGTGAATTGGCAATTCGAACTGCAGCTTCAAGCTGGTTCCCGAATAGTACCGAAGATACCTTATATCGTATAATACTCCGCCTTATGGGAATGGGCTCCGTAATGCAAGAGCAGAGGTTATTTTATATGATACTTAGCACTGTGAGATCACCCTTCCCCTTCAAATAGAGGTTATCCAACGGCCGTATTTGCGCTATCAGGGCCGTTCATCGTCCAGGAACTCAGCATATCGAGTCTTTGCCGTATATCATCTCGGTCCCGGGGCTTGACAGCAAACCATGGGTAGGACGCTCTTCGGCTATGGAAGATACATCCAGGTACCTATTGCTCCCGATTGGCTCTTGCTCTGCGGTCTCCATCTGTTGGACAAGAGGTGGAGATCCCTTAAATCTCCGCGGTAAACTTAGTTAGATAACTTTAACTAACCTCCAAAAATAGAAAAAAAATTAACCTTTAACTTTAGCCGGATCTTACAACCTAATTAAAAAATAAAATATAAAAAAAAATAAATATAGCTTAAATTTTCCTATATTTAGCTATTAAACTTTTATATTTTTATTTATTTTAAAAAATTTTACATTTTATTTACCTTTTAATTTTTATTTTAATTTTATATAATTAATTTTTATTTAAAATATTTATAACTTTAATAATTATAAGCCTGGCTTATACTTTACTTTTTTAAATATTATTTATATAATTATTTTTAAAGTTATTTATTACCTAAATTTAAACTTTTAAAGTTTTTTTTTACTTATTATATAATATATTATAAAAAAATTTTAATTTTTATTTATAAATACCTAGTTTAATACTATTACCTTAAATAACCTTAATATATAATATTTATAATATTAAATTATTAAATTAATAACTATAAGCCTTATAATATAAGACTATATTAATTTTTTAATTAATAATAAAAACTTATTACTTATTTTTATTAGCCCGAGGCTAATTTTTAAAAATTATTATTTTAATATTTTAAAAAAAGGCAAACTTTAAATAAGTTATTTAATATTTAATAAATAAAATAAATATTATAATATAATAAAAAAATATTTTACTTAAAAAAATATAAAGCTTTATTAAATATAATAATAACTTATATAATTTTAATTATATTTAGCTTTTACTAATAACTTTTATATAGCTAAAAATATTTATATATAATACTTTAACTTTTTATAAAATATTATATATAATTTAATATTACCTGCTAAATAAAAATTAAGATAAAATAAAAAAAGGTAGTTATTTACTAAGGCCTTTTTATTAAAAAAATAAATTAATAATTAATATAACCGCTGGGTTAGTGTATTTATTAAAGCTAAAAAATTTAATATTTTTATTAATAATTAAAATACTAACATGCTTTAAAACTTTATATACATTATTATAATTATTAATAAAAAGTTTAGTTAAAAGCTTTACATGGCTATTCTTTTTTAAAAAAAAGAACTTTACTAATATTATTAAAAAGTTTAAAGTATTTTATATACTTTAGGCCATTTATACTATATATAATAAATTTAAATAATAATTAATAAATAATACCTTTACCACGCTTGAAGAAAATAACTTAATAAATAAAAAAAATAAAAATATTAAAAATAATAAGAAATTTAAGAAAAATAGTAAAAATAAAGATAATAAATTAAAGCTAATATACCTAGTATATAACCACCTATATTTTATTACTTTTTACTAGTATTTTAATACTAAAAAAGCTCTAAAAAATTAGGAGCCTTAAAAAAAACTTTATAAAAAGTAAAAAAAAATATATAGGATTTAATTATTAAAAAAAAGTATTAAGCACCTTTAAAAAATCTAGATTTAATATAATAGTATTTAAAATTAAGGCTAAAAAATAACTTTAAAAACCTAAAAAAAGTTATAATAATAATTACTTATTTACTATTTAATAGCTTATAATATAGCCTATATAAAAGTATTATTATTAATTTTAGATTTTTTATATATGTTACTAATAACCTTACTAAAATAATTAATATTTATAATACCTTTAAAAATAATATTATTTTTATTAGTAATATTATTAATAAAATTAAAAAATTTAATATACTTTATATCTCTTGCAAGGGACTAGACAGCTTAAAAAAGCTTTTATAATTTAATAATTATATTTATATTTTTAGCTTTTATACTATTATTATATCCCTTAATAAAGCCATGTTAGTAAATTTATATTTTAATAATTATAAAAGGACTTTTAAAAACTTAAAAAAAAAGATTTTTATATACTTAAATAATATTATAAATTATATATAATTTATTATAAAAAATTTAATATTAATAATAATAAAAAGATTAAGGCCTTTTATACTATAATAAAAATAAAAATTAATACTTTATAACTTTAAAAATATTATTAAAAAGCCTAAAAATTTAGTATAAATATATAAGCCACCTTAATACTAATATAGTATTTAAACTTTTAATATTTATAATTAGTATATAAATTAATCCAGCGCCTTAGCTTTTTAATAAAAAATAAAAAAAAAATTACTTTGCGCGCCGTGTAAATTCTTATAATTTTTTAAATAAATATTATAAATTAAATTAATTAAAGTAACCCAACCTTTTAAAAAAATTTATTTTAATATTTTTATTTTTAAAGCATTTTAAAATAATATAAAATATACCTTTTATTTTTTAAATAATACTACTTAAATAAAATAAATAATATTATATACTAAAAAAATAATTACTAGCGTGTTATTTAATTACTTAATATATATATTTTTAAGTAATTTAGCCTTTATATTTATTTTTTTTATATAAATAATAAGATATTATAGCTTTTAAATAACTTTAAATTTATTAAAAAATAATAGGGTTTAGCCTTTAAAACTATTATTTTTAATATACTTAAATAAAATAATATAAGTAAGTAATTAAAAAAAAATTATTTTATAAAAAGTTAAAGCACTTTTATTAGCTGCTAATATATTTTAAAATTTTATATTTAAAGTTATAAAAATATTTATTTATATACTAAATTATATATTTATAAAAAATAAAAAAAAATAATTTATATTATTTTAAAAGTTTTAAGTATTAATAGGTAATACTTGCCTAGTAAATATAATTAATATTTTTAAGTTTAAATTACTTGCCTACTAGCAGCTAAAAACTCCTAACTTTTATAAAATAAAGTTAAAAGCAGCTATTAAATATTTTTATAAATATAAAAAAGTTTATAATATTTAAAAAATTTAAAACCCTCGCGCTAAAGCTATATAATATTTAGTTATTTAAATAAAAAATATAATATTTAATAAGACAAGAACCTATAATAAAAATAACTTAATTTATATAACTAGTTTAAAATACATAATCCTAGTATATATTAATAAAAAAAACTAGTTAATATACTATTTTTTATTAACTTTAAAAATAATTTTTTAAATTTAATAATTAAAATAAGCCTACTCCTAAACCTAATAACATAAAAATAGGTAAAAATAAAAAGGTTAAAAATAATAAACCTTATACTAAAATTAATGCTTAAAATAAAGTTATTTTTAACTTACTTAGTAACTTAATATTATATAATAATAGGAATTTTATAATCTTACTTACTTTTATTATTAGCCTAAGCTTAGTAAATATTATAATTAATTAAAGCTTTTAAACCTATAATAACTATAAAATTATTTTAATAATACCTAACTAGGTGGTAAAAAGCAAGAAAAATAAAAAAAATTTAATTTTAAAAATAATAGCGTTGGAGGGGTCCCATAAGTAAAAAATAATATAAATAAAAATAATAATAAAAAAAATATTAATATTACTTTTTTTTATTAAATCTAACGTAAAACCACATAAAATTAATATAAAAAAAGTAAAATCCTAATCCTAGACTCCTAACTACGCAGGTTAAATTAAATAAAAAAGCCTAATATAACCACCTGCACTAAAAGTAAAATTTAAAAAATTTTATAAATAAAAACTATTTAAAATAAAGACCTTTTTTTAAAATTTTTTATACTAAACTTTTTTACTAGCTAGCAAAAAACTTTACTAAATATTATATTTTTTTTACTTAATAATTTTTAAGCCTTTTAAACCATTGCAAGAGGTACTAGGTAAAGTTATTTATTAAAATTAGTTTTAAAAAAAACTAAAAAACTAGGTAAAACTTATAAAGTATTTATATAAAAATTAATTTATAAAGGCTACTAAAGTTAAATTTAGTACTTTTAAAAAACTTTATACCTTTAAAATTATTTTTATACTAAAAAGCAAGATTATTATACTACTTATATAAGTATTTAAATATAAATTTAATTTTACTAGTTATTTAAATAAATTTAAAGCACGCCTTTATATTAAAAAAGATTTTTAACTTATTAATTATATACCTAGCCCCTGGCGTGTTAAAGGTAAAGTATTTAAGTTAAATTAATTTTTATATAACCTTAAATAATTACCGTGTATTTAATAAAAAAATATTTTTAATACTTTTTAAATATAGCTTTAAGCTAGTGCTAAAAAAGCCTTGCCTTTTTATTATAAAATATTTTATAATTATTTTTTTTATTAATAATATACTTATTATAAGCAAGAAATTAGCTAAAGCTAAAAAAAAAAGGTTATTAACTTTATTAAATATATAAAGTATATATATAAATTATAAAATTTTAGTAAAGTAAAGTAGTTCTTAAATATTAAAATTATTTATAATTATTATAATTAAAAAATTTAGTTACTTTAAAATTTTTATATTAATAATTTACAGGTTAAATATAATTTTATAGTACTAAGTAAAATATTAAAAATATTTTTACTTATTAAAAAACTAATACTTACGCCTTTAAATTATATACTTATAAAATAAAATATTTTCTTATATTAATAACTTATTAGCTTATTTTTTTATTTTATTATAATAATATACTTTAATACTTTTAAAGTAGCTAGTAAGCTTACTTAATATATAATATAATTTAATTAAAACTTATATTAAGGTAGCTAAGTACGCTATTTAATATTTTATTATTATAAAAAACCTAAAAATTAAATACTTAGTTAATATTAAAAAAAATTATTATTATAATATTTAATACTTTTTTTAATAATAATTTTAATTAATATAGCTTTAATAAATAGCTTATAAAGTTATTTAAAAATTTAATTAATTAAAATACTAAGAAGTAAAAAATAGTTACTACTTTTATTATTAAAATTAAATTACTTACTATTACTAAGAAAGCAAAAAACCTTATATAATAAAAAAACTTTTTAATATTATAAAGTTTAATTTAAAGGTTAAATTATACCTTTTTTATAATAATACCTAAATTATATAATTATTTAACTTAAATAATCTTATATTTATTATATAACTTTAACATGTTAATATTTATTATTACTAGCTTTATAAAAAGTATTAAAATAAAAAAATTAAAGTTAACTAAATAAAAATAAAAAATTAATTAATAAATAATTTTATTAAACTTTTTAATAACCCATGTTATAAAATATTTATTTATTAATTTAGCTTTATTAAAATTAAAATTATTTTTAACACCTAGTATTAGTGCTTTTATTTTTTTTTATATATTAAAAGGTATATTAAATAAAAAATAAAAATTTTTAAATTTCCGCGGTAAACTTAGTTAAATAACTTTAATTAATTTTTAAAAATAAAAAAAAAATTAACCTTTAACTTTAGCTAGATCTTATAACCTAATTAAAAAATAAAATAAAAAAAAAATAAATATAGCTTAAATTTTTTTATATTTAACTATTAAACTTTTATATTTTTATTTATTTTAAATCCTAAAAAATTTTATATTTTATTTACCCCTTAATTCTTATCCTAATCTTACATAACTAATTTCTGCTTGAGGCATCCGTAACTCCAATACCATCACTCTCCAAACACCAATACAATCTAATCAGAAGAAAGCCCGCAACATATCGTTATGCTACCGGGAACGCCCTCTTCGCCGACTACCCCTCCTGCCAAGGCGAGGCGCAGCCTACAACCAATCCGGAGATGGGGAACCTAAGCGCCCACCAACAGCCTTGCGCAGCCTTGAGCTGAGATTCTCTCCCTCGTCCACATCTTAGCTAGGCCCTTCACGTCCATATCGTCTCGCCCTGATTTCGCGGGATGCCAGATGCTGATATCTCGTCTTCTTGGCCATGGTTCCGGAGATCGTCGCTGACTCGAAGTTGAACGTCACCTTCCAGGGTGACCATGTTTCTCACGAGGTATTTGACTCTGGCACAGATGTCAGGCGTCGAAGGAAAGAAGAACGCTGGCAACGCCACCGATACCTTGGACGGGGAGGATACGGGACGGTCTGGCTGGAGAAGTGCATCAACGATGTTGTCGAGACGCGATTGCGAGCTGTCAAAAATGTCCCCAAGACTTCTTACTCTGCGGGTGCTATTGACTATACGCGTGAGCTGGAGGCGATCGCAAAGTTCTCTCAGCGGAAGGTGAGCTTCCACCCCTGTTGATAACCCCGGCGCATCACAACTAATATGATCTAGTATGACGGCCTCTTCGTCCGATCATTCGGTTGGTTCGAAGATCTGGAATCTGTGTATATCACCATGGAATACTTTGAACTTGGCGATCTCCAGAAGCATCTATCGCAGCCACTACCGGAGCCTGAAGCGCAGCATATAACCTACCAGTTACTCGAGGGTCTTGAGCACCTGCATGCCAACGGCTTCGCACATCGCGACTTGAAGCCAGCTGTACGTACTCGCGTCGCCTAAGATATGAAGGCCTCGCTAACGCAACTAGAACGTATTTGTGGTCCAGAAGAGACCGCGGTGGTGGGTGAAAATCGGTGACTTTGGGATTAGCAAGCGCCTTCATGAAGACACTGCATTTCGTACGGTGGTTGGGACAGTGACGCACCTTGCACCCGAGGTCCTTTTGAATCGTTTCGGCGGCACTGGAGCATATACACACAAGGTGGATATGTGGTCGCTAGGTGTGATGACACACTATATCCTGACCAAGAGTCTCCCGTTCAAATCATCCAGCGAACTCTCGGTATATACCCGAGATAATCGGTTGCCAACTGCTGCTCTCCAATCCCATTGCGCCAGTGCGGAGTGTCAGGGTTTCATAAGTTCACTGCTGGCTGTGGATCCAGACGTACGGCTTGCGGCCAAGGATGCTCTAGGACACGATTGGATCAAAGCGGAGCTGGAGCTGGCACCACTAAGCTCGTCAGAGAGCAACGTAACTGGTAAGGGCCCAAACTCGGGAATTAGAATACAGAGTACCAAGCATGCTGATACTGAAAGATGCAGAGCGCAGACCAAACTCATTGGAAGGTCTAGCTACACTAGAGGCTGGAACTAGCTCTCCATTGCCATATGGAAGATGGACCAGCAGTAAACAATCCACAGCGGACGTCCAAGAGCCAGAAGCAGAGACATCGCCAGAGTTAGGACAAGAGGGCACGACATCACAACAGCAAAAGCAGGAGCAAGCATCGACCACACCGCTACCGACAACGGAGGAAGAGATCGTGACACTGCAACCGCAAAGAACGTGGCTCTCGATACAACGGCAATTACCGGGGTCCACAGCTTCCCAACTATTTGGGACGCCCGATTTGAAACGGAGGATCATCATCCTGGGTGATAACAACTGCGGTAGGACAAGTCTGTTGATGTAAGTCCAGCCAAATTTCTTGTTCGCCTGTCTAATACAGGGCCTCTATATTGCATGTGTTCGTTCTTCTAAGGGTTGGAATTCCACTAAGACTGAGCCACAGAGCGTTGGTGGAAGGTAGATTCTGGGCAAAGGAGGTTAGCTTCCATAATCTATGCTGTCTACCTGGCAATCAAAACTCGAGACCGTCTCGCTTTCACTGCCAGTGCTTACACGCAAGCGTACCCCACTACCTCGTTCCCTGAAGCTAAGAAGATGCGCATCCATAGGTTGGCTCGATACCCCCGTTGGGCACCTACGTTGCATTCACAATCGTAGACGACAGACGCCTTGAACTTGAGCTGCAAGACACAGCAGGCAGGGCGGACTATCTGGACGATTGGTCTCGATTCAGCCCCGGTGTGCACGTCGCGTTGCTGTGCTTTGCAATAGACGAGCCACAGTCTCTAACAAGCGTTACAGAACAGGTAAGTAACCCAAGCTTTGCTCTCGATGCATTGAGTTTTCTCTCCTCGAACCCGGCAACCTTCAATGCACTGATACTGACACCGGGTCTATGGTCACAAGTGGACCGCACACATTCGACAGCTCAGTCGAGACGCTCCCATCATCCTCGTCGGATGCAAAAGGGATCTTCGCCACAACCGTGAAACAATTGCAAAGCTGCAGGGGAGTTCGAGGCGTCCTGTGGCTTGGGAAGACGTATGTACCCCACCCAAACTCAGTGGAGACACTCAGTGCCATAAACATCCCGAACCAGCCGTTGACCAGTCGCCTGGAACTAGGGCAAGCGCGTCGGCGAAGAGATCGGGGCGTACGAGTATCTGGAATGTTCAGCACTCACCAACGAGGGCGTGCCGGAGGTGCTCGAAGCCGCTGTCCGTGCAGCGCTCATGGAGGCCCCAAGCCCAGACGATAGCAAGCGCAGACCTAGTTGGTGGCGGCGCCTGGGCACTTCGCCCTGGAGAGCTATCTAGAGCTGCAGCAAAGAAATACTGACATTGTTCCAACTAGCCGTAATAGTTGTGGGGTAGCACAGCATCTACCTGGCTCTTGCTCTTCCTCTGCTTAGATGGAGGCACTTGGTGGTCTTCAAACAAGGTCGTTGAAAGCCGTTTGCTCGGTGGGAACAAGAGATGGGGTAAATACCACCTAAGGTACCGTTGAGTAGAAGTTGTATTAATGCATTTTATGGGGAGGAGGCAACCATCAGGGTTCGTACAATAGTTGGAGACAGAACATCTATGAATTCTGTTCACAGAAGTGGAATCATGCCAGATCAGGATAAACGGGCTCGCATATTACCCTCTATGTTATTCCTTATCTACCTAGGTAGTACTGTATGCCATGGCAGCCAGAGTATATGAGAGTCAGTAAGCCTGGATTCACCTTGTTCTAATCTATAGGATAATCTAGAGTACCAGCAGGCACGTGGCGCGGGCTCTGTTCTCCAACTCCTTCGCTTAGTTACGGGTAGTGAACTAGTGGCATCCCCGACTCAGTCCACTTGGCCTCTACGGCGGGGGCACACTCCAACCCTCCAACCTTCCTGTCCTCCATTCCCCCATCCTTCCACCTGTCAAGGCTATTTCGACAATGTCACTCGCAACACCTGCACCCTCATTAATCCTCCACCTCCTTAAAACAAACACCCTGATCCGGCCCTTCGCGCCCACAGACTCCGACATCGAGTGCCTCGCCCAGCACGCCGACAACCCCCTCATCGCGCAGTTCATGCGCAACGCCTTCCCGCACCCGTACACCCGCGACGCAGCGATAAAGTGGATCAACTTTACTCTCAGTCAAAACCCAATCTGCCATTTTGCGATCTGCGACGCAAACACAAATACAATCATCGGTGCGATTGGCTTGAAAGGCAGGGACGACGTGCAGTATCGCTCCATGGAGGTGGGATACTGGCTGGGCCAGGAGTTCTGGGGAAGGGGCATTGGGAGCGAGGCGGTTGGGGAATTTGTGAAGTGGGTTTTTGGGCACGAGGGGTTTGGCCACCTTGTGAGGATTGATGCGGAGGTCTTCGACGGGAATGAGGGGAGTAAGAGGGTGCTTGAGAAGGTTGGGTTTGGGTTTGAGGGGAGACGGAGGAAGGCTGTTGAGAAGAATGGGCTTGTGCTGGATACGTTTGTTTATGCTTTGTTGAGGGAGGAGTTGTGATAGAGAGAGAGGAGGTCAAGGGTGTGGTGGTTTCATCGGCTCTGAGGGTTCTGCTCAGGGACACCGTACCATATTAAAGTGCATTGCGCGCATTGAGCACATAGTCATATTCGCATGGTTAGAACATGCCGGCCCTTGACGAATGGCAATTAACCCGGGCCAAATTTGATGCCTGCCGTGGATGACGAAGAGCCTCTAAGGGTATACCTCAGTCTTACCATGAACCAGAGTATTGCCTGGCGATGGTATTCTAGAGTGCCGTCAGTCGGCTCAGCTGTCGGAACCTTTCCCTTCTTCAAGTTCCGTGACCTGCATCCTACACAAGTGCTAGTCTCTGACGATCTAGATATCCATGCATAGAGATTCCAGGGTTACTTGTTCAGCCTACCTAAATTGCCAGGGAAGAAGAAGCGAGACATGACGTTTGTCGTGTCAAACACCCCAGCCGGGTGAGATTCTAACGCCTGAACTCTTCGTGTGCTTATGTAGGGCCAGAGAATAGGAAAATGGCTCATACGCGGGGTGTCTCGTGTGCAGTGAAACCATGGCGTCAAATCATACCCAGTACGCTTCTCCCTCCAATGTATTGGGCTTCCACTGATTGCACGGTACGCATGTATTTTCCATCTGTGGCGTGACTAGTGTGTATAGAGTCTGCTCACTTCCTGTTAAGTTATATAAAACAACGTGAAGATGCTGACAGAATTCAAGTCGCCTCATAAGAGCAGTCGCCTCTGCATCCCATAGCCCTTGGCAGGAAACTATCCATTTGAAATGCCAGCCTCTGAGGCCTCCATCTCACCTGAGCGAATGGCGGAGTATTCAGGGGACCGCCTACGCGATGTTGCTATTGCATTTACTGTCCTCGAGTTCCTTGCAGTGGGTTTGCGGTTCATCTCTGTTAGAATCGGCCACGAGGTCATCGGCTTAGACGATTATCTGGCAGTTCCCGGGCTCCTGTGCTGCCTTGCTCTGAACACCGCGGCATTTGGTATGTTCTACTCATATCCTATCATTTAGACTAACCTTCTATATAGTCGGCATCCACGTCTGCCACTTAGGCTACCACCTCGACTTCGCTCAAGCAATTGAGCCTGATGTTCTAGTTACGTGGTCCAAAATCAGCCTTGCGGTCCCTATACTCTACTCCGCAGCGTGCGCCGTCCCCTGGATCATGCTGCTAATCATGTATCTCCGCATCCTTTCTATCCCCTGGTTAAAGCCGTACCGGATGGCCTCCTACGCCCTGATGGTCTGCGTTGTGGCCCACGAGTACCTTCGTTGCCCTCCTTGGGTGCATCCCACTTGCATACTTCTGGGACCAGACTATCCAAGGCGGCCACTGCATCGACGTGACCCTATTCTACCGCTGGGGCAGCATGCCCAACATTCTAATCGATATCGCCATGTTGTTCCTGCCGTAGCCTGTGGTCTGGAAACTGCAGATGTCCATCCAGGCAAAGGCTGGCCGAAGTGCCACTATTCTCACGGGTAGCATGTAAATGTCCGTCACCTTCGAGTCTCCTTAGACAGGCCTATAGTAACATAGCGGCTTAGTGGAATAGTCACGGCCATCTACTGCTGCGTTGCCTTTTTCCAGCACAACACGCGCGCCGATCAAACCTGGGAGGCCGTCACATTCGCAAGCTGGACTGTTATCGAGCCCGGCGTTTACCTGGTCTCTGCCTGTATGCCCTGCTACCGGACTTTCCGGCAACTCCCCCGCGACTATTTCACAGGACAGCCGACTGCCTCCGTGAAACACGATCAGGACATGTTCTTCTTTCATCGGAAATGGGCTTCACGTCCTAGTGCTAGTATTAGTTCCTCGGGAACTGGGTTCCTGACGCGGGCCCCGGGCACGGAGACAGACGCCCATGCGCGGTCTGCAGGAAGATCAGCTTTTCCATAGCCCTACCAGCTCTAGGCTCCGAGAACTGCAATCGCACTTAATAATAGATCTATTTTGGTGGCGGCACTAATCCACTGCCATTTGCACTTCCCTAATAATCTTAAACAACATTTGCTAAATAACCCGCACAGCGCAGTTGGGTCTTGCGCATTGACAGCAAGGCTAGTTAAAAGGTCAAGTTAATATAATTATTTTATTCTAACAGTTTCCTTAATTTATGAATTATACATCTAATCGCCCTCGAGGCCCTACTTACACCTGGCCTTTTTCTGTACTGTAAACAAAGGTGCCCTGAAAAAGGCGTTTTGGTCACAGGGTATTAGGGCGGACTATCATCCCTTTGTCCCGGGAGTCAATACTACTTGGTTGAAGCTTTTTTTAATATTCTGTACTTGAAAACCCACACATATATATAATACATGGCCTCATACCACGACTCTCGGCCCCCATCCTAACAAGAACCGCAAGATCGCAGTGGAACAAGGTCCAGGCCTACTAGGGTTCCATCGGATACTTTCAATGCGTGCTATAAGATAGCCCCCATCGAGAAATATCAGCCGCGGCCTACTAAAAACCAGACTGGAACAACCTGAAGACAACTGGAGACGAAACCAGGGCCGGGGCAGGCTATGGTAGAGTCAACCCTAGAGCCATAAATAAGCCCCGACATCCCGTCTCCCAGTGACACCATTACAGAAGGGGTAGACGGACTTCCTGCTGGTTTCCAGAGCTCACGGGGGATAGGAAGAACATCTGACCTGGAGCCTCTATTCAAAGTTGGGATTGGGAGTATGGTAGGCTAAGAAGACGGGTTAGGGCTCAAGCTCGGGCTCGGGGCGGGCCTAATCCGTCCTAACAAGCGCCACGGTTGTCTTTTTTTTTTCTGCCTACCGTCTAGATCCATCGGGTTAGATTCAGGACTCGCCCAGGCCTTTTTTGCTAACCTGAGATCCGCTCAGGGTCCAGCTCACGACCCTGATCAACGAATAGCACGGCATGGGCCAGGCCGCCACAGGAGCACGAGCCGACTGCTTTTTTTTGCTGCCTACGGCGGCTGAATTTAGGGAATTACGGGTGCCTAGAACTGAGGCTGAAATTTCCAAGGAGTTCGAGGTGCTGACCCGTTATTGCCCCGTGGTGGGGGCGTAGTGGTAGACGCTGCTTAGACTAAGGCAGCAACATTCTACTACATGTGGATTGCTTGTTCGTCTATAAGGTATTGCTCCACTTTAGACTCCGAGGTAGAGCACGGACTAGAGACTGGATCTGGAAGGAGTCATGGATTGTCTGGCCTGGGCGTCGTAGCCGTGGAATGAAGCAATCGTAAAGCCTAGGTAGTTGGAACGCTTACGCAGCTGCCTGTCCTAGGTACATTGACCTGGGTGATAGGGTACCCTGAGCTCGCCCGACGTCGCGCAGCATGGAGGTGAAGCTCTAGAGAAGTGGAAGAAATTTGTCCTTTCATTCGGGCATCTATCGTCTATCCATACATAATTATTATCCTAGTACTACGTAAACTGAGAGTAGGGTATAAAAGAATGTCGTAAACATAAAGGTCGATCAGAAGATCCAACTCTCCCTATTCGACACCTTCGACCAGTCCCTACACTTCCCAAACGCCGTCCGACAGAACTTGCCCATCTCAACCCTTAGACTCCAATGCCTCCACGACCCCTCGGCATGGTGATACAATCTCGCCGAGGAATCCGTAACGGACTTGGAGCCCATACTGCGAAACCGCGCGCTGCCCGGACTGAATCCCGTAATGGGGAGGACAAGCACGTCCTCAACGAGCTTGCTCTTCCCGTCATCGTGTAGCCCCGTCAGCGCGTTCCAGCGTAGATCCGCCTTCGTGTCGAGATAGGTGCGCACGCTATCCGTGAACGCGATCGGGCCGGTCAGGTTCACGGGGTCGATCCAGTCAAGCCCCGTGCCGCGCTGCTGTTCGGATTCCGGGAGAGTCTGCTGGTCGCGCGCGACGAGGCGGATTGTCTCGCGGAGGCGGTCGATGAAGAGTTGGAGGGCGGGGTGGTGCGGCGCAAATGCGAAGGCCCATTGGGTCAGCTGGATGGGGAAGAAGTAGCCCATGCGCCAATAGGTGTCGGTGTCCGGGTTTGTGTCTGCTTCGATGCCGACGATGGCGTTGACGGGTTTCGTTGAGTGGTATAGTTTGCTGGTTTTGAAGTCCGTCCAGGGGATTAGGTCTGTTGGGGTTATCCACGATGTGGGGGATTGCAGGGGTTCTGTGTCCATGTCGACGTACTGAACTTGTTAGCAAGGACCTGGAGTATACAGAAGGGCTGGGGAACGTACAACACCGCCAATCCACTTGCAAACCAGCACGCGGAAAACATCTGAGCGCTCGACGGGGCTTGGGAGGCCGTAGAATTCCGCCTCAAGCTCTGGCTCAAAGACGCGCATGAATTGTGCGACGCCGGCATCGTCCCAGAATAGGTATGGGATGTCTTCCTCCTCCACGACGCGCAGCCATTTCTCCACGCTCGCCTGGTATTTCGGTCGCCAGGTCTCAAAGCGCGTGTCTTTCCAGGTTTGGTGGATGATTCGTGGGATGTTCGAGTGCGGCAGGTGGCCCGAGGGGTCGGTGCTCGAGCGGTTGAGGGCCAGTTGCGCTGCGGTGACGATGTCTATCAAGGGCGTGTTCGAAGCATCGGTCCATGTCTGTGGTAAGTGCCAGGCTGTTCCAGAGTTGGGCGCAGTGGTTAGCTACTTCGTCGTTGCATAGAGGGTAAGAAGGCTCACCACCACCACTCCCCTTCCCACCCTCGATGTACTTTGCGATCAGCGGATATTGCGCCCGCGCATCAGCCACCGCCGGTCCATGGGTATGTCGCAGTAGGCGCCAATTGACGAAGATTGTAACTAAAACTGCAACGGCTACCAGCCGCCGAAAGTGTCGAGGGAGTAGCATCTTGTCCGTCGAAGTCTGTCCCGCAGAGAAAAATAAGTTGACAGGAGGATCAACAGGGAGATGGAGCTCTCAAGTACTTTGGCTTGGAAGCTCCAGTCGCTCATTTGTTTCGACCCATCTGTCCATCCCCTGGCTGTGCTGTCGTTAAGCATGAGCCTGGACTAGCGCCGCCAGGATGGAGTAGGTGGATGGGGATCTCAACATTCAATCTTAAGCTTGCCAGGTATTCGGCCCCAACCTTGGCGCTAGAGGCTCTGTCGCAATTCGCAATCCAGGAGTACGTATGCTGTATGCTCGACAGGGCATAGCCTGGTCGTGAGGGTAAAATGTGATTGGCGTGCGCGGGCGATCCCTACGGTTTCATGGCTGTGAGAGCCGTGTCCTGCCTCAGAGCTGCCTCAGGGCGTTGGCTGTGTCTTGTCTAGGCAGCATGATAACAGCAGACTTCTCCAACTCCAACGGCGATGCAGGGTGACGTGTGGCACCAAGGAACCACAAGCCGCAATAACATTCTGACTGCAGGGAAAGATTCAGGGTTCTTCACGGGCGCGGCTGGGCAGTGGACTCTCACTCTGGTTAGGGGCTTCCACTCCCAGGGACCCTCACTGGACCGGCCAATTTTAGGCTCAAAGGCTGCCGATCTTGTCTCGCACTCGGGGCCAATAGGAAACCTCCATCTTCCCAGCTGGCCATTGCGATGGACAGTTTGACAGTCAGGGGTTTAACTGGAAACTCAACCAACCACGTTATTGAGCAATACCACGCGTCAATTCTCAAGACTTGGACAAGAGCACAGGTCAACATCTAGGAGCTAGTAACTTACCCAGTACGCAACATAGTGAACATACTGTCTTGCCAAGTCAACCCCAGAGCCAAGACGTGGGGCGTCCTTAGCAATCCAAGCCTCGTTGCTTGCGACCCAGTACGTAATCCTTTACACGCCCTGGCCTATGACAGGTCGCACAAATGTGAGAGAAGCCAGGGAACCTCATCAATCGCGATAAATATCAAGGGCTGTCCCTTGAACGGCCCCATGATGTGTAGGCAGCCGCCTTCATCGCCTCGACCCAACGGCTCAGTCGCCGTACGATGGCCATTGCGCTCCCCGCGGAGACCGCATCTTGGGCGAAACTGCACTGCCTGCTCGTCTGCAACAGAAAGGCGTGGAGATGAAACCAGGCATCCGCATTCTTGTTTGAGTTGCCTCCAACCTTGGGTGGCTTGAACTCTCGGAGAACCCCGGCTCGAATCGCAGCTTGCTCTGTAGGAACATCGTCAATCCAGCGCCTCCAGGCAGCAGCGAACGGGTTCTCATGACTTTCATCGCGTTGTGTGAACTGGCTGATTCCGTCGGGAACCCGTTCGGCAAGATACGTCAAACAAAAGGCATTGGATGTAAATGGGGAGATGCACAAGCAGAAGCTGGCCAGAGCTGCAAAGGCTGTTGGCGGACACCATCGCACGTGTTTGTCGTTGCCCTAGAAATCACCAATGTGGGTGTTTTCCTTGACATGGATGGTGCAATGTCCACCCCTTTGAAAACAGGGATAGGTCATACCTGATTACCTTGAGTACGGCTTGTAAACTCCAACTTAAGCAGGGTCTCAAGCTACCAACAGATTCCTGAAATGGAAGGAAGGGCAGAAAATATGACAGCGATCGCTGTTGCCTGCTTTAGAGTATTGATGGTTGGCGCCTATTTGACGTGGAATCTTAGGGCTCTCCTGAAAAGCCTTGGGCTCGAAGTCAAATTCATGAACCTTGGAAGTCTCAAGGTCATGTCAAAGGTAATCCATGGATAAACATGTCCGGCCTCGCTTAGGCGAAGGAGAACTTCTCAATCTTATCCTGCTCCTCCAGCCGCCAGATCCGCTGGATCGCATCCTTGAACGCATTCATATCCTTAACATGCCCATATTCAGCCAACGCAAGAGCCTTGCTCTCAATCTCCTCCCTATTCCACCGTTAGCAATATTCTCCAAGCCCGATCAAAAACCATTGCAACATACCTCGTCAAAGTCCACCCTGGATCCCCCTTCACAACATGCACCGTCCTACTCAAAACCCTCCCATCCTTCGTCCTCACCTCCACCCGCCCAAGCCACTTCTCCGGAAACGCAGCATCAATCTCCTCATCAAGCACCATGCTCACTCTCCCCTGCAACTCCCTCAACTCAGTATCAGCAAGCGCCTCCTCCGTAAAATCCGTCAGCCCCGCACTCCCCCTCTTCGCCGCAACAGCCAGCACAAACCCCATGCTGAATTTACTCTGGTGCACCGTTTTCCCTTCCCCGCTGAGTCCCAGCACATCAAGCGCCGCTTTATACGTGTACGCCGTGACGCTCTCGATATCGGCGTAATGTACCTTCTCATCAGCCATCAGCGCAATCAGCGCGTCGGCGGAGGGGTGCGTGTGTCGACAGCTCGCGTGCCATTTAAAGCTGCTTTCCAGAATCGACCACTTCCTTCCGAGATCGCGATCAATCGCTTCAGGGGTGGTAACTAGATTCCCCAGCGTAGCGCCCATCCCCCGCTCCCCCTCCAGGATATCCCCCGTCCCTAGGAGTCCGCTTGCCGCCGTGTAGGCCGAGAATACACCCCCCGCACAAGCCTGCGCGGTATGCACTTGCTTTGAGTGCGTCGCGTCCAACAAGAACTGCCACAGCCCGGCGGCCTGTGTACCCGCTGTTCCGATGGCTGAGAGGAATTGGGACGGGCGGAGTTTGAGCAGGTGGGCTGTTGTTGCGGCTGCGCCGAGGATGCCGGTTGTGGCTGTTGTGTGGAATTTCTACACGGCGTTAGCAAAAAGGGCGCAAGGGAGAAGGGGCCCGGGGACGGGAGGTGTGTAGACCTCGTAATGCGCTTTGCCGAGATACTCCCCCGCCCGGCAGGCGAATTCGTATCCGACCACGCACGCCGTTATGAATTCTTGCCCTGACGCGCCGACGTCCTGGGATACGGCTAGGGCCGTTGGGTAGATGATCGTTGCCTGCAGTGGGTCGTCAGAACGCCCAGCAGAAACACTATATCAAGGTCCGGTGGTAGGTTGGCGTACCGGATGCATCATACTCCGATTATGCAAATCATCCTGCTCGACAACATGCGCCGCGCCGCCATTCACCAGCGCTGCGAATGCGGGACTCGTCTTGACATCGGGAAACCCGATCAGCTCGCATTTTCCGGTCGTCGGGCCCATTTGCTTCGCGTAGTGCAGCATTGACTGCACGGCGATGTGCTCGCGCCCCGCGACGGCGCAGGCGAGCGTGTCAGCGAAGAAGTCTTTTGTGCGGGCGATTACGGGGGCGGGGAGGTCGGTGTATTGCAGGGCACTGGCCCAGTTGACGAGGTTTTGGGTTCGGGTGTTTGGGTGAGTGGACATGGTTCGTTTCGTGTGGTTGGTGGTATGGCTATTATTCTTGAGGTTCGGGTTGAGGATGTGGGATAAGGGTTGCAGGATGGTGGTTCGGCTGGTCAAGACTCGACGGCCTGCTATCCGTGTAGACTGCGCGACGAGCATTTTCCAATGACTTTGTTATACTGCTCTACAGTGATGTCAGTCAATTATCTGATGTTGGAGACGAGGGGGTCTCACTCGGTAAGCCAGAAGCCGCGGTTACTCAGAATGCGGGGAAAAGGCTTTATGGCCCGGTTATATACTCCGTACCCCGGCTTCTCCCCGCCATCGGATGCGATCCCGTTGGATAATTGCCCTACCTAGGTCGAGATATATCCGCGACTGTTTTGGTGAAGGCCCTGCTACTCATCCATGACCTCGTATAGTTTGCAATGGCAAGGGTGAGTAAGTTAATACTCGATGGGCTCGATGAACAACTGCCGCATCCCAGTTCGACCACGACGTTGAGGAGGCTGGATCAATGTCCTTTGCTGGCGCTTTCTGGGCAACATGTCGCTATAAGGTAGTCTCGGAAATAACGGATCTTTGGCCATAGAGTAGATAATCTCGTTCATCAGGCAACGGTTTCATAGAACCCGGCGTCGCACCACAGCAGTAGGAATCATGGCCAGGTATCTCTTTGGATAAAATGGCAAGGCTGGTAATGAACAACTGAGTTGAGTCAGCTGGAATTGATACAGAGAGAATCAAGTTCTGGTCGAGTCGGTGCCCGAAAGTGGTCTGCTTCAGGCTCAATACCAAAACATCATTTCTTATGGAAAATGAGGCTGATATGGTTTTGTTGATCTGCGAATCTTATCATTCTTTCATCTGCCTTCGGAGCAGGGCAAGAAAGATGGCCGGTCATGTTGACGAAGTTATCTGGTTTGATGCAGCAAACCACCCACAGTGAATGACACAAGGCCTGGTTGACAGCTCATTCACCACAAAGGTACCATAGACACTCCAGAACATATGTTGGGGCAACATACAAAGCCATCTGAACCTGAATTTTTCTCTAATCTCCATCAGTCTTTCCTATTCCCATCTCTGATTCCATCCTCTCATACTCAGCCCTAAACCACCACGTCGTCGAACCGTGCGATCGCATAAGCCAACATGCTCCGTCTCCTCCTTTTCGCCAGCCTGGCTCTGTGCAGCACCATTCAAAAGGCTCCTGCTCTCTTCCACGACCCTCCTTACGTACGTTATCTACCCAAGGCCGGGCTTGTCTCAATCCTACTATACTAACGGACGCCTCGACAGCGCAGCATATACTGCTATCCCAACGAGCACAAAGTCCTCTCGGCTCCACTCATCCAACGTCTCAACGATCCTAGAAATGACACGGTCCTCTCCCTCGACCCCTCGACTTGCGCGCGTGCCATCTGTATTGGAGGGGCTGCAGTGTGGGTGTGCAATGATGTACGTCCATCCCCATCGCGTTCTTACTATATGTCTCGTGCAGTTTGGAGTGTTGGGTGTTGAGCCCGAGAGAAAGCCTCCAACTTGCTATATACTGACTTGGTGCTTGGCGCTTGCAGAACAAAGACGCCGTCATCGGAATCACCAACAAGGAGATCGCTGCGAGCGCAGAGAGGGTCGCTGCCGAATGCTACGAGGAATTTTTCGGACTGGTCTATACCGGTGGGAGGGTGTTTACCAATCCGGCCAAAGTTCGTGTTGTTGTTGCGAAGGATTATATGTGTCTGGGGAGCTTGCCTGTGGAGTACTGAATGCACTAGATGGCTGTTGTCATCATGGTTTAGTTCTGGGGGCGCAACATTTGATGGAATTCTTTTGGTGTAGGGGTTTATCATCAATATGAAAGAGAAAGGTTAACCTAGCTGTTGGTGTTATGGATAATTAAGACCCCGGTCTACGATATCTTTACGGGCTGCTGTCTCTTTACCTCCAGCTTACCTTGGCTTTGTCCAGTCATGTAATGTCCATGGTAGCTGGTGCAGAGTTTTCCTGCAGCCCTACAAACTCAATCAAGCGTCAACCGCGGTAGCCTGGTCAGGATGTCATAATTCTGTGGACTGCGCCATGTTGAACGTCTTTCCAAGGCTATTTTCCTCAGGCTCATAGTTAATATGTGCAAGACAGTAGAGGATTAACAATAATTTAAAAAGCCAAGGGCTGTAGTGCCATGAAGGGCAGTCAAGCGAAGGATTTCAATGAATTCGCCAGACGACTGGTACCATGTTGTAGGATGTATCTAGAGTGGGAAGCCTTAACTAATCTACCTAGGTAGGTCCCTCGGGCTGCCCACACTCGCCAATGTTACGGGTGCCGCCGCCCGTTGCATGTGTTTTTTGTCAACTATCTTTGTGCTACTATTGTTGAAGCGTCCACTGACCTACATACCAACTTTAATGACGGAAACAGCGCGCTTGACCGGATTATTCTTGTCTCCTCCTCCCGATGTGGGACTCCTCGGCAGACTCAGATGGCTTCTGGTGTTTGGGTGCAGGTACATGAGTGCACTATTCTGACTGGGCATTGCCAATACCCAGATTTTGTTCTGCAGGGATAAGCTGGTCAGTACTGCAGATTGACAGCTGGTTTAAACCATATTCAGCAAATGCAGACGAGGTCGGGTCATGTCGGAGAGATTGCGATGACTGCGGTATCCTCCGCTCCATGGCCTGAAAAGTACCCTAAATATGGTAATCTCCTGTTCTTTGTTCTATGCATGATTTGGACAAGCTCGAAGTATTAGAAACTCCGGAAGAACAAGCATTCGAATTACAAAATGAATTGCAGGGGTACATATGAATAATCCATGGCCAGCATCATTGGACAGTTGACCAGCCAGCAAAACCCATTGTAATGCTTGCTCTTTCGTGCCGATTGTTCCGGGTGGGGGGGTAACTGCTATATGCAAGTGACAGCATGGCAAGAACAGCTCGGAAGATGCTCTACTGGCTGGTTCTCAGCCTCAGTAGCACCAACAAGACAATAGCTACCAGTCTGCAGATTGCTTTGTGAGAACCATCGGAGTATGTTCACTCCGCGACAGTGAAAAGGGAACCTTAACAGAGGGAGAAATGAGCAAAAAGGCTCACATCTCAAGATGAGTAAAGTATACCGAACCCCAGTCCAGTGAACGCCCACTTCGAATCGCAGGGCAGTCCATCCAGTCTGCCCACTGTCTCCCTTCGCCCATACCCGCAACAAGGATGCACCTTTCTGCCCTCCTAACCACAGGCCTAGCCGCCATATCCTTCACCGTCCCAGCCCTGGCTCAAGCCGACCGCTCGGACGGGATCATCACCGTCTACCGCCAACGAGACTGGGCCCTCCAAGACCAGGGGAGGGGAATAGCATGAATAACCAAGCTGGAGCACAACATAGAAGCGAGATCAGGCAGTGCTTGGATCCTACTGAACTTAATCTTCTCCTGAAATCAGGAAGATCTGCGTTTATGACTCTCGAGTCTATATGCCATCTGATCGTGACCTCGGCAGATAGAGCACAGACTCAAGTCATAATAGTCAAGTACTACATAACGTCATACAGTGTCATTCCGGAATCTCCAAATGAAGGGGACCATCCTAGGTAAGTGGCTTGCTTTTCCGAAATTCGAGTGTGATTTATTATGAGGTTCCACACAATCACACCGAGGATCGAAAGGGGAGGCCTTAGTGGCCAAGCGCAACGTAGTACCAAGAACAAAACAAGCAAATCTAGGACATACGGCTTATTATTCTCTCAAAGCTGACCCTGGTGGCGTGAATATACTCCGCAAACGAGAAACATCAATTAGACGAGTAACCAAGGCGAGGAAACATAAATAGAGGCACAGGCCAGGCCGCGAACCCGTAACCCTGGTTAGATACCACTCATTCTCTTCTTGTAACATACTCTGCCATTGAAATCGTCACAAACTCATCTCCAAGATGCAGCTCCTATCCACCCTCATCAGCATCGGCCTCCTCTTCGCCTCGCCGGCCCTTTCCCAGGACGACCCCGAACCAACCCCCTCGACCAACGGCACAATCCAAGCCTACGCCCAGGAAGACTGGCCCTCCTACCCCAACGCCACCGCGGTAGGCTGTCTAAACGACACTGGCTATCTCGACCTCAACGACGCCCCAGCCTGCGCGATCCTCGAGAACGCAGGCGGCTTCATCAGCACGGCGGATGGCGATTTCCTCCGCATTCTTCCCGATGGACAAGTGATTAGTATCGAGGAACCGGATGACAACGAGGCTACGCGGTGTACACCGTATGGGGCGAATGATGACGAGGTACGTTTCCTCGCCGCTTACATACACCAAGAGATTAAGGCTAATGGATATCGGCGTATAGATCCCCGCGGACTTCTTGTACTGCGTGACGCGCATCTTCTCTCCCGACCAGGAGTTTGAGTCTGGACCGCGCTGGTACCCGGTGGATGGGAGCGATGCGAATAATACGGTTCAGCTGGCGGGGAATGGGACGGATGATGGGCCTGTGCTGGGGCTGGTCTTTGTGCCTGTTAATGAGACTGCGGGTGGTGCTGTTGTTTGATCACTGATTATTTCGGTGGGGATGGAGTGCAGGCGGGTAATATAGTCTGAATGAGTTGAGAGGATTGGGATTGCATTGGTCCACCGGAGCGAGAGACTCCCAGGTCGTTAACGGGATTGTACATACTCCCTGTAATCAACTGACGTCTGCCCTCGTCATGTATAAGGCTATCTGGGGCTAAGGCCCTATTGTGCAATGTGTTTACGGATGACGGGGTTCGTTGATGACCTGATATAACAATAAATTCGTGTCTGGCCGGCACAGTCAGAAAGTATAGATTGGGATTCTACAAATCGCAACGCAATATGGGCATTGGCACTAGGCTTCCTGGTCCGTGCTCACTTGATGGCTTTTATATCAGCCATCGACGAACATCCCTAGGTGTCATTCTTGAGGCTTTGGTCAATGGCTGATGCTTATTTAGAATAATACCTGACTTTTGTAGAAAATGCGCTGGAGCGGCCCCTACAAAGAGGGCATCATCTTGATACTCACAAAAGACCTTTCAGTTGTCAAAGGACAATCTAGCCCGCTCACCTACCTATGGTGCCCCAACCCTTCCGATCAGACTAGAATTTGTTCAGTAGCCTCTACCATCGGACCCATCAATGGCCAAGCTTTGAACCTCCTGGCTTTAGACCAGAGTATGGGTTCGAGTCGTCGATTGGAGCCCTTCAGCCGCTGCGTTGCCCATGGGTCTCGCGGAGTGACCAACCACAGCGTGGGTCGTATTCTGAAACATGGGAAGGAGACACCCCAGTTCTCTGCATCCTGAAACTTGAAAGCCTTGTCCGGGGTTGCAATTATGCGCCACTTGGTACAGCCAAGCCCAGGCCGAGTGCAGCTGAACGAGGTCGGCGCGTTGAGCGCGAATGATGTGCTTTTGTTTGAGCCATTTCTGACCCTAATTACCACCTCATTACCACCTAGAGACGAGAGGAAATGAATGAAGATTTGGCTCTTTAAAGGAGACGGGGTGTCTTCCACATTCCTCACCAACCGATCCTCACCCTCATCACCTATAAATGCCACCACAACAAACAACATCTGTGATGCCTGCCGTTCTACCACTGAGGGTCATCTGCCGCAATGTTACATGGGTGACTGACAGCGCTGGTCAACCTCACAAAGCCACCAGATTCTTTGTCGACGATCCCCGCAAACTCGGCGTCCAGCAGTTCGACATCGTCTCGTATCATTACGGCAGGAAGGCGAAGCCATGGAGCTGTGCGGAACCAAGCGAGGACTGGCACGGTCTCCCAGGCGTCGATTGGAAAGTGAATATCCGGAAGTCCAAGTTGAAGGAGGTACTGCGGCTGATGGAAGAAGCCGATATCGATTACTTATGGACAGACTGCGTCTGCTTCGATCAGGAGAATAAGGCTGAGAAGTCAGCCGAGGTCAGTCGCATGTACGAGTACTACAAGAGCGCGGAGACGTGCCACATCGTCGTCAACATGGATGACATCGCCAGTGCCCATGACGTCGAAGAGGAGGAGGAGGAGGAGGAGGCCGCGGAATCCGAAAACGACACACCAGCACATGAGGCCTTCGGATCCCCCAGCCTGATCCACAACCCCGTCTGGGATCCCCAAACCATCGTCGACGACCTGAAGTTCCTCGACCACATCCTGCACCACATGGTCGGCGCCGCGCGTGCAACCGATGCCCTGCTGGGCCCCAACGTGACCAGAGAGCTGTCGGACTGGGCAGAAGCGCCGTGGCTCTTCCGCATGACGCAAGGAGCCGTCAAGGCCGCGGCCGTCGAGCCAGGTATCTTGAACTGCTATGCGACATGCGTCAGCCACGTGCGGTCGCTGTTCCGCAATCTGTACTTCTCCCGCGTCTGGACATTCCAGGAGATGCTGCTGGGCAAGAATATCACCATGTGGGGTGTCAATCCGGAGGACATGAAGTGCATCGGGCAGTTCGGCACCTGGATGGACCTGGCCATCGACGCCAGCGACAAGGCCGTCAAGCTCCGCGACTGGATCGACGAGTGCCGAAAGCTCAATACCACGGGCGTCAACGCCATTCTGCAGGTCATCCAGGAGGATCTCCTCGAGCTCACTTTTCTGCGCACGCAGGTCCAGGGCATCAACTCGGCGCGGACGGACATCATTGCGGGCGGGCCGTACTGGTGGCAGGACAACTACAAGGGGATCTGCAACGTCTTTTCCGCCATCTCCATCTGGCCGCGCCGGTGCGAAAAGCGCGCCGATATCTTCTATGGTCTCCTGGGCGTGTTCAGCGGCCTGTTTACTGAGGAGGAGATCAAGCACCTACCAGGCAGGGGCGAGAGCGAGGAGATCGAGCCCATCGCCTTTGCCTTCTTCAAGCAGTTGTCCCTGAGAACCGAGCGCGCCTGGACCCGTCTGGCGATCACGAGCGGGAATCGAGGCGAGTGGGACTGGATCCCTGTGACCGCGAACCCCAAGCGCATCAGAACCACCGACCTCTTCGCGGGTGTCGTCGACCTAGGGTTTCTGACGCAGAAGGGCCGAGTCAAGACGCTCGCGATCACTGGCCTCCAGGGGACACCACGACCGTACATCCGATTCCGGCCGGAACAGCAGGCCAAGAACGCAGGCTTCACCTTTGTCTTCCGCGGCTGCAACGCCGGCAAAAAGGTCAAGATCTCGACCTTCAAGTCCGAGCTCATTCCGGTATCCGAGAAAGCGAGGACCGTTGTCGGGGATGAAACCGGTCGGACCCTGGTGCAGGTTTCGACCATCCTGGGAGCCCTGTTCGATCCCGCCGGAAACCTCGTCGAGTACCGACGCAGGCTGCTGGAAAAGCTGCAACCAAGGTGGCACGTATCCGACCCCAACGCCAAACCCGCCGGCTGGATCGACAGATGCGTGAGCGGCACCCCCTGGGAAAATCCCATGCTGGAGTACATCCGGGCGCACAACCACTCGGCGAGGTACCACCTGCAAGCGATCCGGGACTGCCAATCGCGTCTGTACAACGACGCCACGGCCGACATCTCGTGCGAGGTCCGGATCGAGTGTGGATGCACCATCGTTGCGCCGTTCTACTTTGTCGTGGAAGGCCTGATCGCGGTGCAGGGGGGCTTCCTCGGCAAGATCTCGGTCGGGCTGGACAGGGACAACCGCATCATTCTGCAGGACGGCGTGGGATTGATACAGCCGGGCGACGTGGGCAAGGGATTCCACATTGTCGCGTTTGAAGGCGACGTCCACGCTCACCGCGACTATGCGTCTAGCTGTCGGAGCACCAAGAAGGACAAGGCGGTGGTGGTGTCTCAACCCGAAGCCTGGCCTCGAGGCAGAGCTATTGTGAGGGACGACTTTAGCCATGCTGCACCCGACGTGATGAGAGACTATGGATATATCCAGACTGGCGGGTATGTTCAGGAAGACGGCTTTGTGCAGACGGGGGGCTCGGGGAACTTGCTGATATGCAGGAATCACCCGGTGGGAGATTACAGGATTGTGGGAGTCTGTATCGACAATTTCATGGCGAACAAGAAGGGAGAGAAGAAGGTTGTTATTCGCTAGCACTGTATCTAGACACGTCTGACATCAATAAATTGAAGGCGTTTTATCCTGGAATATACTTAATCCTAAGATATATGTGCTGTAATAAAGTGCATCTTGGAACGTTTGTCTTTAACTTTCCAGTTCTTAACTAAGATAGAGAGACTATGTTAGTGCTCCTGGGATTTATTTTATGCTTGGTCATATCAAACTGTAGCCCTAACTCCCGGGCCTCAGGCAACTCCTTCCAGCAAAGCTCACCTCACTAACCCAGGTTACGCTACTACTAGGTAGAACACGAAAGGCAGCATTTAACTTCATTTGTAAATACATTAGGTACAATAGTTCGTTACATACATGATAGAATTAGTCCCAGCCCAGCTGCAGACGGGGTATCCAGAGCACAATCTGCCTTTCTCTCTATCGCATCTTCATCTTCTTCTTCATCTTTGTGTTACTTTTAGGGAGACATCACACCGATAATCCTAATATCTAATCACTTCCAAGACTCATGCCCATAATGCATGCGTACAGCACCATAGACTCAATCCGTCGCCCGCCGCTTCCCGAACCTCCACGACCACCCACAAAGATCCCCCAGCAACAAATCACGCTGGGCCTTAGGCTGAAGGCGCGGCGCAGGCCTGGGCTCCGGGTGCTCCGAGACTGAAGAGTCCGTGTCCCAGGCCGATATCTCCCGAGATTCTTCTGGCGGGGACACTTGAGGGCAGAGCTCTTTCTTGAAGCACCGGGTGAAGGAAAAGAGGCACGGAGGCACTCTTCTCTTCTTTTGGGCTGTATTCGGCCGATTTGGAGGTCTCAGTAAATGGGGAGACAGGGAACTGGGTTTTGCGGGGACTTGTGGGTTGGATTGCGGCGGGCAAACGGATATCTCGTCATTGTTTTGTTTTTGTTTTTGGTCTTGGATTCCGAGAGCTTTGGTGCCGGGTTTCCGAACGTGAAGTGGATGCTGGATGCGTTCTTCAATACCGGTCGCCTGGGCTTGTTCGATGGGTAAGGTTTCCCGACTCGACGCCTTCATATGCTCCTCGAGAAAACTTTCAAGCTCCTCAATAGATCCCAGAATGGAGTCTTGGACGACATCCACCATCGATTCCCCAGCGGAGCTGCCAGTGTGACCTGAATCCTGCAGTGGAGCCGCAGCCCAGACAGCCGCAGGTTCCCAGTCGTGTCCCTGGACCGCCCTAGACAACCCCCGGCACGTCGCGCGATCTCCCCCAACCGAGCTGAGAAACGGATTCCGCGCGAACTCCTGCCACACTGCCACAGGTAACGGCCAGTTCGTCGCATCCGCATACCGCATCTCATACTGGCTGTCGCGGCTGTTCTGGCTGGTGGCGCTCTGGCTCTCCTGCAGCTGCAGGTGCACGCCAAAGTCGCAAGGCATACACACTGACACGTCGATTAGAGAGAACCCGCGTCCGGACGCTATTCTCCCGTCAGAAATAACGTGCTTCAGCTGTCCCCATGTCGCAGCTTTCCGCGTGGTAACCGGGTACAAGGGATCGCGCTTCGGCGCACCGCTGGATAGAACGGCGTCGAGGACCTTCAGTGCGCAGGTCTGGTTTTGCGCTTGCGGAATGTCTTGGGTGAGCACGATTGGGTTGCCGCGGCTGGCTGATGTGCCGTGGATAGAGGCTTCGCGGTTGGTGTTTTTCTTGGTGTTGTACGCGCTGCTTGGGAGTGTGGGAGATAGATCTGCCTCGGTATCCGTTGAGCTTGTATTCGAGTTTGTATTCGAGTGTGTTTTCGTGCGGTTGAGGAGGAAGATCACGAGATTCAGCTTATTCCTGAAGATGGCCTGCAGCGCCGGTGCTGATTTCTTGAAGCTGCGGTTGTCGATGAAGAGGATTGTCCGGCTGCGTGGGGTTTCGCCGCAGTTCTGGCTGTATCGGTCCCTTGATGCGCGGGAGACGCCGATGGATGCTGCGAGGCCGCATCTAGCAGAGGTGGTTATCATGTTCGTGTTGGCGGGGAGGATGAGGTCGTTTGCACCTGCCAGTATATTCTTCGTTTTTGATGGAGTACCTGCACCGGTCGGCGTATAAGACCCGGTTCCATTTCCAGTCTCCGTGACGATAACGTCGTTCTCTTTCAGGAAATGCGAGATCTCCGGCCAGAATGTCTCCCCGTCAATCAGAGCATCCGGGCAAACGGGTATCAGCGCCCTTAACCGGTCCTGGGAGTTCGCGAACAGAGGCATGGGATGCGGGTAGAGGAGGATATGGTGGCGGGACTCGACGAGCTTATCCAGCACACCCCTCAGGATATCCTTTGTATTCGGCGGCTCGCAGCTCGTACATTGTGACGGGTCTCCAGGGAAGCGGATCCGCCGCCTACTGATGTCGAGTGTGCGTCGTGGATCCGGACCAGACAGACACGGCAACGGGCTGGATTCAGCGCCGATGGCAGACTCGGGCGCCCCGAAGCGGATGACCAGGTTTGCCTCGCTCAGGTAGCTGCGCGCAAACGCCCAGTCGCTATTGTGCGCTGAAGCAACCCTCAGTTCTCCCTCTCCGTTTGGCCCGGGGTAGATGCCAACGAAGCTGGGGAGCGTCTCGTCAATGCACCCCTTGCCCGCTTGTGTCGCGAACACCGGCCACCCAGACAGTCTAACCAGCTCGGCTGCCTCGTTCGCGAGATCGAAGCGGCCAGTCAGAGCGTCGATGATGATAAGCGGTTTCGTAGCGTTCAAGAGAAGGTCCACTGTCTTTTGCACGAGGGACCGTTCATGGTGCGGCCGGTTGCAGCGCTCCTGCGTGTTGATGGGCCGGTCCAGACTATAGGAGTTGATTTTCATGCCGAGCATATCGACGGGAACCTCGATGTAGACGGGCTGAGAGCTCCGGATACACATCTCCAGCACGCGGTCGATTTCCTTTGCGGCGGCGCAGCGGAAGAACAGGCTTGCTTGGGCGGCGGTCACGGGCTTGTAGAGCTGCGCGAAGCGGCGGAAGTCGTGTTTGCCTGGTTCTGCTTCTTGCTCTGCATCTGCATCCTCGTTCTCGGGGCCGTGGCTGCTGATGCTCGAGATTGAGCGCGTACACCACGAGTCAGGCCGCGGGATTGAGTCCTTTGGACTGGGCGTTTTCATTTGCGATGAGATAGTGGGCACACCCGCTATCAGGATTAGGGGTACGCTGTCTGCGTAGGCGCGGGAGATGGCTGGTATGGCTGTTGGGTCGCCTTCGCTGTAGGAGGTTATCAGGGCTGAGACGCCGCGGACTCGGGCGTAGGCGTCTGCTGCGTAGGCGGCGTTGAGCTCGGTGGTGCTTTCAACGAAGTGCAGGCCTGCCGGTTTGATGAAGCCGAGCATTGGGATGTTGAAGTCGCCGGGGACGCCGTGGACTGTGTGGATTCCCAGCTGGTTGAGGCGGGTGAACAGGTATGTTGCTAGGGTTGTTTGGATGGGGTTCGACATGGTGGTTTCCATGTGGGAGAGTTCGAGTTGGAGGGTTCATGAAAGGGGATGAGGATGATGAGAAGGTTTGGTGGAGATATGGCATTTTGACGGAGTGGGTAAGGAAGAAGAATTAATATAGGGAGATTAGAGAAGAGGAGCAGAAGATGAGGAGTGGTGAATACGAAGAATGGTCCCTATTGCAGTGAATGAGGTAGAAGGTCGGGAGTATAGAACTGGCCTGACCTATTACCGCTGCCTGTCTGGATCCATGGCTCTGGCATAGGTACGTAGCCCTAAAAGAAGATGAGAAAGTGAATGAGCTGGGCGAGGATCAGTCCACGAAGCCCCCGGGAGGAGACCGATCTGTCGAGAACGTCTTTCTGAGCTTCGAGTAAGCAAAACAAATAAGGTCTTCAAGTCATCCAATGGATGCAGCGTTAAAGCCTCGGTCACAGGAAGTGCTGCAAAAGATTTGAATCTGGGTAGCCAAGGATGCCCTGTTGGACAGACAGCTTGAAAGTATAACAGCCCTCCCTTGTTCCTCCCTTCTCCTCGAACCGGTGCAAACTGTGCGCTAGCCATGCGGGTATTAACCTCCCTGAGCTTGGGAAGAGTAAGTAAGCTTTCAAGGTCCTCTGAGGTGAACAGCGAAACTGTTGAAGAGCAGGTACTTAGAAAGAAGGGCCATAGCGAGAAACAAGATGCGTGCTTATATAGACTGAAAGATATCCGAGCTGTCAGTTTCTGCTTCCTCTGCTTGATAACCTACTATTAAATCCACGCATGCGAGCCACTAAATATCATCCCATGTCCCGAACGCAGTCTCCTATTAGGAAGAAGAGGGCGTGATGGTTCATTAAAGCAAGGCCTACGATATCATACCGCTCTACAACGAGAAGAGATAAGCAAAGTCCTGTTAGTCTCACCATGTTCATTGCCTTTACTAACACCTATTCCTATACCACACACTCTACTTTCCCGGCCGAATGGCCTTTGGCCTCTCAACCCAGTCAAAGCTCCCCAGCTGCTTGACCATCCAGCAATCCCCCGGCCCATCCGCGCCCCTCGACTTCTCCTGGGTAAACAACGTCCCACTAAGGAAGCTATGAGGAAACCCAAAGTCAAACTCGTAGGCGTCCTCAATCTGCGCAATCTCCTCCTCGGTCAACGTAACCCCAATGCCCGCAATACTCCCCTCGATATGCGAGACTTTCCGCGCCCCAACAATCGGAAACACATACGGCGCCTTGTCCATGACATACGCGAGCGCAACATGAAGGAGCTCAACGTCCTTCTTCTTCGCGATTCTCTCAAGAACAGCCGAGACATCCTTGTCGCGCTGGCTCGTGGGGATGAAGTTCCGTCCGTCATGTTGCTTCTCGCGCGCCTTGAATCCTTCTTCCGTCTGGAACCGGCCTTGGTTGAGAACACCATACGGACATAACCCCATCCCCTCATCGCGACACATAGGCAGGATATCCCGCTCGAAGTCCCGCATCGTCGCGTTCCACATCCCCTGGTACACCACGAACTGCCGCAGCCCTTTCTGCCTTGCGTACTCGTTCGCCTTGGACACCACCCACGCCGGCGTATCCGAGATACCGAGGTACAGCACCTTCCCGGCAACAACGAGGTCGTTAAGCGCGTGCATGAGCTCGGGGATACTGGTGCTGTAATCCCACCAGTGGACATAGTACAGATCAACATAGGCTGTCTTGAGTCGCTGCAGCGACGCATCGAGGGCAAGTCTCATGCTCTTGACGTTATTCCCGCCGAAGTTAGACTGCAGTTTTGACTTGCGATGTGTCTGCCACGGCGTCGTGTACTTCGTCGCCAGGACGATCTCGTCTCTGTTCTGACGGGCTTCCATCCACTCGCCGAGCCATTCTTCCGACTGGCCTTCGCGGTAGGCGTTGGCGGTGTCGATGAAGTTCCCGCCGTTCTTGTAGAAGGTGTCGAGCACGGCGAAGGCGTCGTCCTTCGTGCAGTGGCCGTAGCGCTCGCTGTGGGCTGTGCCGAAGGTCATGGCGCCCAGGCAGAGGGGGGAGACCCGGATGGCGGCTGAGGGGGAGAGTTGGCGGTGCCGGGCGAGGAGAGAGTCTGGGGGTGGGTGGAGGGTGAATGACATTTTGAAGAGCTTCAAGGGTTTGCGATGATAATGGGAGAGAGGAGATGGCTTGCTTGAGGTAGAGTTCTTGAGCAGTTTTGGGGGTATATATACCTTCGTTCAGGCCACTGATCTATGACGTCCATTCCAAGCTTAGCGAGAGCTGGGACCTCGGAGACACTGGATGTCAGCAATTAGCGCCCGATAAGCTCAGGATCGGCCAAGGACTGTGCACGCCAAATGCTGACGCCCTGCTCCGAACCGGACCATGCAGGCGCTGGGGGGGGTTTGTGATACCGTATCAGCACGCCCACATTCGTATCCGCCGGTGAATACATATCAAAACTCAATATAGTCAAAAAGTCACATTTTATTTAAAATATATTATTATTTTTAATTTATATGAAAAAATAATGTATATTATTATATAATAATATATATTAGTAAGCTTAATATATATTAGTAAGCTAATATATATTATAATGTAAAATATATTAAAAAACTTAATATTTTATAAAATTTAAAAATAAAAATAAAATATTTTATAAGTCACGTGATTCCCCTAATATATATTTTATTATTATATTTATTATTAGTATTAATTTAAGATATAATATTAACTAGTTATAGAAAGTTTATTATTATTTATTTAATTTAATAGTAAATCACGTGTTTAAACTAATAAATAAATTAATTATTTTAACCTATAAAGGGGATC